CATACTTTTATCTACGTAGAAGATACGTTTATCTAATGTATTTGCTACATTCTAATTCGTATATCTACAGGTTTGTTTTTCTATTTTATCTTTTAAAATATCTTACTTTGTTCATTTGTTACATTTTGTATAACCTTTAATTGCTCATATCAGCATTTTTGTGGGACCTCTCACATAGTAGTGTCACTCATCTTTCACTTGGAACTATATGTAGAAGTGCAGTCATAGATCTGATACGAAAGACATATAGAGGTCGTATTTACATACATACATACATACATACATACATACATACATACAAAATACATACATACAAGCATACATACATACATACATACATACATACATACATACATACATACATACATACATACATACATATCCCGCGATATGCCAAGGAGAGGCACGGGCCACCGAGCCATGGATGCCCGTGCCTATAATAAAAAGAGAAGGTGAGATTGGGTTAAATGGCCGAGGGTGTGCAGGTACTAGTGGGCTACTAAGCTGCTAATTGTGTATACCAAAATGCTACCGTTGCCATGGCCACTGCGCTGCCAACGGCGATTCGCAGCTAGCGCTGCTGGCCTGAGACTGCTCCCGCTGTCCGGCCCCCACGGTAGCATATTTTAACGCTACCACTGCTTGGCAACTACCACGCTGCCAAAAGCAGCTCCCGCTGCTGGCCTAATTCAGACTACCGCTGCCCGGCCCCAGGTAGCCGGCCAAAGCAGATCCCACTGCCCGGCCCCATTAGCCAAACCACTGTGCGACTACCGCCGCGGACCCAACTGTCAGCTACCGCTTGACAAGACGACTTCCGCCGCCGGGCCCATATACGTGGCAATTGTTTGCCCCAACGTATGTTATTTTACGATTCCCCGGCTGAAAGTCGGGAAAGACAAGGTTCCCACTGAGAAGCAGGTAACCGCGGAAAGGTTCCCGCTGAAAAGCAGGTAGCCTTAAGCACGAGTATTAATTTGGAAGCAAGTTAATTTGTTACTAGCAGTGAAGCCCACAAGAACCCCGCCACAAAGCACCAGAGTGCTACCCCACACCCACGGCCACGCGATACGCGGAGATAGCATTGTTTCCCCCGCTTGCCTATGTACTGAAAAGAAACACTAACCTGTGGAGATAACATCCTTACTGGCGCAAAACAAGCTCCAGGGCATGCAATAAATTGTCCGTAAATGCACACAGTCCTTTGTTACTGAGTAGGACGCCCTCCCAGGCGTACCATGTCTTGTCTGATGCCAGGATCTGGGGATGTGGCACTATTGTACCGCCAAGCTCTTTGACTCGGTTGGCCAGTCGGCGGTTGATATTCTTCCGCATCCCCTCGATCTTTAGTGGATCCCTGGCATCGTGCCAGTAGCGCCTGGACAGTATTGAGGATACGATGATCTTGGTGTCAGGAAGCTGGAGTTGTATCCGAAGGATTGATGCCATCATGTCAAGGTAGAGTTGGCTGCCCTTGACCGAGCACAGGTCGTTGGAGCCCAGGTGAATGATGAGGGCTCTGGGAGGGCACCGTGTCGCCTTGACCTGAGCATCTAGAATGGTGTCCAGCTCCTTCCACCTCATCCCCCCTCATGCCAGCCATAGCATCCTCGGTTGGTTCGAACTGGTGCCATTCAGGAGCAAGTACTGCCGTGCCCTGGCCATGTAGCTGGATCCCACCATCCAAACAATAAGAAGTGTAGTAAGTACCATGAAAGACTATTTGAATTAATTGTGCAACATTGAATTTGTTGGTAAGCTAGCGTATGTAAGCATTGTAGCAATCTGATTTCCACCTGCCGTGTTGTTGTATGAGGTGTTCCAGCACCCTGTTCATGGCTGCTGATGTGGAAGGAGTGCGAAGAATAGCAAGCCGTGTTTATGTTGCTGTGTGCTAAGGCCTTTTTTAGGAGTGCCCGGAATTGGTACCTTGTAACGGGGGAATGGTCGAAATGATCGAATGCATGTTGTGGGCCAGAGGGGCGCGCCTCCAGGTAGTGCTTGATGGCAACTACCGGACATAGCGGATTACCTTGTATAGATGACATTGTAACTGTTGTACCCATCCTGTACTGATCAGACTTTGAGTGTGGTAAATGGATTGAAAGCTGCTGGGGTTGCCCAAGAAGCTTAAATTCTGGATGGCGCAACCTGTTTTTGAGGGTCCAGTTTGGACCAGTTCGCTTACCCTAAAGAAACCGAAGAAGGCTGTGCAGTAGACTGCCTTGAACAGTTTGGCTTCATATGATGATGAGCATACGTGAGGCAGATTGTTGGTTACTACCTGCAGCAGATCTGCAGTGATCGGTTTTCTGGTGTCTGGTCGGCCCGCTGATTTGTGTAAGCCTGTTAAAATCTTGCCCACCAGGAAATGGTTTGTACAGTCGGTGAGGCCGTGGAATTTGTGCTGTGAAGACAGCGCTGCAATGTAAGTCTTGACTGTGTTAGGGGAGTGGTGAGTGACTGACAGATAAGCAATAAAGTTTACGACCTGATCCAGCTGGACTGGCCACACCTCTTGTAGCTGGTGTGTGGACCGGAACTGGTGCAAGGCATTGATGCCTGTTTGGTAAGTGGCCCATGTATTTGTAGACAGAGATTGTTGTAGGAGTCTGCCGGCTTCCTGCCTCAGATCAGCCATATGTTGCACGGGATAGGTGTGGGGTTCTGGTCCACGGCTGGTGCTGCCTCTCGGAAGCGTTTGAGCTGAAACCTCGAGAGAACATCGGCAATAGATTTAGCAGTGGAACATACATACCTGCCTAAAACATAATATTATATCGGAGGCACTGCAGGATTATGCGACGGAGTAGGCTCATCACTCTTGGGGCCTTGGTCGACTGTTTGTTAATTATTGCTACGACGGCTTGGTTGTCGCAGTAAAAGAGGACCTTTTTGTTTGCGAGTTGCTTGCCCCAAAGTTGGATGGCCAGTGTGATGGGGAACAGCTCCAGGAGCGTCAAGTCCCGTGTAGTTCCATCCGTCACCCACTGGGTTGGCCATGTGCCGTTAAACCATTTGCCCTGCATGTAGGCCCCAAAGCCGGCACCACCCGCTGCGTCTGAAAACAGCTGGAGGAAATCGCTGTCTACCCATAGTTGGTCCTGAAACAATGAAATGCCGTTATAACTCATAAGAAATGTTAACCACATTTGTAGGTCTTCCTTGACCCAGCTGGTAATCCTAATGTGGTGAAATGGTTGCTTACCTTTGCTAAGCAGATCGATTAGCCTTCGGCTGAATGCCCTTGCCATTGGTATAGCCCTGCACATAAAGTTAAGCTTGCCTATGAGGGACTGAAGGGCCCTTTTTGTGACCTTGATGTTACCTGTTGACAAGATGTCTTGGATTTCCCTTGTCGCCTCCTTGATCTTGGACTCTGGGATTCTGATTTGCATTGCATTGGTGTCGATTTCCAGCCCTAAGAATGTCAGTTTTGTCGTGGGGCCCACCGTCTTGTGCGCAATAGGGACCCCCTGCTGTTCTAGTGTATTCACGGATCCGTTGAGGTTGTCTGAGCTGTGGCTGGTGCCTGCTGTGCCCCCCGTTAGGAGGTCATCCAGGTAATGCATGATCTGACACGTTGGAAGATGTGATTGCATGCACCATTGCAAGAAGGTACTAAACGTTTCAAATATGGCGCAAGATATGGAGCAGCCAAATGGTAAGCATTTATAGAAATAGAACTCACCTTCGAATCTGATGCCTAGCAGCTCGAAATCGGATGGGTGGACTGGTATCATTCTAAAGGCCGACTGAATGTCGAATTTTGCTAGTAGTGCTCCCTTTCCCATATGAGCAGCTTCGTCAAATCTGGCATACACAACGGAGCAGGCCTCTGTGTCTATGAAGTCATTTATAGATTTACCCCTGGGATAGGATAGATGGTGAATTAGACGGAATTCCTCCGCATGCTTACCCAGATGCTGACCATAGCCTGGCTGCTTCTTGGTGCGTGGCTGATCGCAAGTTTCGTGCCAGGTGACCCGTGCGGCTTCCCTGGAACTCGAGCTTAAAGCCAAAGCTAAAACCTACCCATAAATAATTTGCATCTCTGTAATTGACCCTAGCATATTGGCGTAACCAGGGTGCCATTTCATTGAGATCCATGGGGGAAGGGGCCATTGAATTTACCTGCCTTGACGGCTGGTTTTCTGTTAGGGAAAGGCTGATTGGGCTTGTATGGGGTCGGTTGGACCCCATTCCCTCGAAAGCAGGTCCTAGAACTGTGGGAATGTTTGCCACACTTACCGCATTTGTGAGTGTACTTACAGTTGACCCTGCTACAGCCAAATTTATTGAAATCCCAGCATACCTGACTGGCGATGTCCCCCTGTACGCGTGTCATTGCGCCCCGTCCGCCTGGTTCTGGTTGTCGTACCGGCTGTGTGACCATGTACTTCAGCCACAACTCCCCGTCGATGTTGTCCCAGCGTCGTGAGGGGTCCCTTGACATTCTGTGTCGGAATTGTTGGTCGTAGGTTGACCAGGCATCCCCCCCGAATCGAAGTGCCGCCGTTCTTATGGTTTCCATGTAGGACAGCAACCCTGGGTTGTGCGGACCTCGGAGTGCCTACTAACATAGATATACATGAAAATGTGGAAAGCTGAAGTCCAGCTTGCCAGGGACAGGCGCTTTGGTTGCTGCTTTATTGGTTTAAAAATTATCTTACCTGAGAAGTCGTACGCCATGGTAATCGTACCGTCCTCGTGACTTCCCTCGGTGTTTGGTAGGATTGTGCCGAGGTCGACAAACTCGCCACGCCAGATTTTTTCCCTCACCTGTTGTTTGACGTGTGCGTCTATTCCATCCGCACGGAAGGATAGGGAATCCCCGTATCCTGCGTTCTGATTGGCTGGCCAAGCTGCGTCACCGTCGGCCTCGTTGTGAGCATCGGGGATTCTGCCTATGTTGGGCGAAATGGCGGGAGAACTAAAACCAAGCCTTACCTGTTGGTTTGCGCTAACCGGGCCGGGCACTGAATGTTCCAGCAACTGGAGTATTTTTTCCAGTTGCTCGTTAACCTGGCATTTACAAGCTGCGCCGATTGCACGTTTATTGTGTTGCCACCTTCGATATTTCCGTAATTGGCAGACTCACCATCAGCTGTTGCCTCCTGCATAATGTGTACTCCCGGGGTTTGTCTCCTGGTTGTCCTGGCCTGCTTGGCTCCCCTCACAAGCTTGTGGTTGACGGCTGATCTTCTCTTGGGAGGCATCACGAAAGGTCGAGGTGGTGAGTTGGTATTCCACAAGTGTAAAAATGTCCCGAGGATAAAGTTCCGGAGTAGAACGAAATAAATGCGATACGGTGAGTACTGAAATAGGTGGTATTCAAACCGTAATCGGCGAAACGGTCGCGATTGTGTAAATGCGATACGGCGAGTGTTGAAATAGATGTTATTCAAAGCATAATCGGCGAAACGGTCGCGACTGGGTACAAAGGAAACGTACAAAGCGAAAGCGATTAGAGACAGTGAAACGCGTGTGTACTTGAAGAGGGACTGTGCGCGAATGATGGACTGTAACAAAAGGCGGGATGATGCTTGCGCGGAATTATTCCCCGGGCACGGTGCAGAGTGGTGACCCGGGCGTGATTGAGTTACGAGGGGTGATTGGATTACGGACGTAATTAGCCAATGGTTTGTATACGCGCGATAAAGTCATTTAGTAGTTAGTACTAAATATAAATACATAAACACACACACAAACACACACATACATACCACATACATACCTATAATTGATTGCAACAAATTTATTATACATTCTGATGCTCTTTGAAACTGAACAAGACATGCCCGAAGATACCGGATATTATTTGTGTATACTTTGAATTATGATTTCGTACCGTTATCATGATGGATTCTGTTTTTGTTGTTGGGGCACGGAGTTATTATCCAAGCAAAAGTTGTCAGTAAGTTGTTGTTAGTTCTTCATGACATATGAAAGGAATCCAGACAGTTACATTTATTCATTTATTTCATTAAATATACTTCTTCCTATGAAAGGAAATATTTTATGTCATATTAATGATCCATATGTTAATCATACATTGCTACAAATATTGCATAAGTTAACATGGTTTGCATTTATTTATTATTATTTATTTATCTGTGAGAAGTTCACAGAGATCGAGAATACGCAATATCTAATAGTATATGCAATGTAGGTAAAGACTATCCACGCCCCTCTTTTGAGAATAATAAAAACATTGTATATAATGTTATGTATTAAGTATTCTCCTTTCCCATGCATGGGGAATCTATGCTGCATTTGCTGACGACTGTTTTTTTTCCTTTGACATCTGTCACTCATTTGTTGTATTTGAATTCTTCGTCAAAATATAATGTATAAATACGATTGAATTGTCTCGTTTGTTTCAAGGAAACGGTCATGTGCTCCTTATCAAATTAAGTAAACCTCCAATGCAAATCGACATAATTTCAGGGTCCGGTTGCACAGAGCTCTCTTCGGTAAGTCGTAACTCAATGTTATTGCAATGGACTCCTAGCTAAGCTACTATTGGATGATAAATCAATTAACATATTTGTCGAATAGACGTACCCGAGGATGGATCTTTCAGTCATAAATTTGTGTACAGTTGCTAGAGTATCATTCTAACAATACAGACATCACTCAAGCTGCATGTAAAATAATTGATAAAGGTAGTCCTTGCGGGTTCACATACCCACATGTACATCGCCCAGGACATTGTCATTATTTGCTTTACATCCTCCGAGCAACGTTAAAAAATTGAAACTTTAATAATAATGAATTGATATTATGTATATGAACATGTTTAAATCAGCTTGCACACAGACTACTGCAGAATGACATCAAGTGTCATCCATTTGCTAGTTTAGTTTAGTTTAAACATATTTTATTCACAGAACAAAATGAGAATTGTATTGGGGACAAGTTCTTGCAACTTAGTAAACCCCTTTCCGCATAAAATATGTACAAATATACAGTTGCAAAATAAATTAATTTGCTTCAGTCAGTAAAAGTCAGACTTTCCACATTTACACATCAATATATTTGTGTAAGTTTGTTACGTTATAATTGTTCCATTGTGTATATTACTACCTACTTTGCCAATTGAAATATGATTCCATTAGGTTAAATATGAACAATTATGATGAAAATCGTCAATAGGATATGTTACAATTAAGTAAAAAAACAACAGAGTATTTCTCAAATAAATAAGAAAACTATGTTCATTCTAGTAATTAATCCTCGATAACGACCTCAATCCTCCCCCCACACCCATACTTTAATGACGATTGTACGACAAACCCTGTACCAACCCTGACAAGGATAGGTTCTAGTCATTTAACGCCTTTGACACGTAACTTATAAGGTTATTACAATTTACGTAAAAAGTTATAACATTTTATCGCATGTAGAGATTATTACAATTTACGTCAATTTTTATTACAATTTGCGTATTACAATCTAGTCAAATTTTATTACAATTTACGTTGTTATTACAATTTACGTCAACATTATTACAATTTGCTGCAAGTATTACAATTTACCTTTTTATTACAATTTACGTCGTAACAGGCGCATTTAAGCTGAATCGAAAGTACAGCTGTGTTTCTTGGAAATCGACTTCAAACGAGACTCTCATTATTTCACTGTTACTCACCAACTCGAGACGACAAGTGTTGTGGATTACAAACTGTCGATATGAGTAAAAGACAAGCTTCGTCATCCATAAAGCAGAAGCAAGTCACTCAGGCTGCTTTGATGAGGAAAGTCCAGCGTGACCCCTGCAGATATCGAGTTGGAGCCACAAGTGACATGTCTTCAAGAATGTCTGGCTACAAGCATGATGGATGCAAAGGGAAGACGGCTTACTATGCGCCGTCCCAGAACCCTGGGATGAAAGAGGATAAGCTCCTCAGCAAACTCCCCGCCAATCATCCGCACAACGATCACAAATTGAGCAACTACAATTGCCCTGGTGAAGGTTATGTGTATGCCATCGACATGAAGAAATAGTTACAAAGATGTAACCTGGGGCTTTCAACTCTTTGTCACCCTGACTGTGTGACATTTGAATCATAGGAACTTTCTGTGACATTCAGGCCTTGAATGAGATGTTTTCTTGTTGAAACAGATGAGCATTAGGGATCGAAAAAGTGATGAAGAAACTGATTTCAATTGAAGATGCAAGTGAGTCTTCGAAAATGACACTTTAAAGATGATTTTGGACACTCATGCCGGCCAATACGGCGATGTATTATATTTGATAGTATTGAGTACTCTGTTAATGTATTTATCATATTATTGATTATGTTAATTTGACATTTCGCTTGAAACCAGAGATGGAAAGAAATAGGTACAAAATTTATTAAAAACTGCCCCAGTGATTTTGCGAGTCATGTTTTTTTTACCCACACCGGACGGATGGATTTACTTTCTGTTATTCTATCACATTTTGAAAGGTTTGGGAATTGATTTTCATTACATTTAGCTGCTAGATATTTTCGATTTGTGTTCGTTGCCTTTTGATGCATTCAGTAAAACATTCCGGAATTTAGTTTTGTGTAAATAATACTAATATAATATGCTGGTGTGTCCTGTTCTATCCCTTACTGAACATGCTAGTGTGTCCTGTTTATCCCCCACTGGAAATGCCGGTGTGTCCTGTGATATAACTGTAATGCTGTTCAAAACGGTATTAAACCCAATTCAATCACACTTCGTGTCGGGTACAGAGAAGACTCAGTCATTTCTCGGAAACGGTCATGTGATGTGTCTCTTACACGTCTTTATTCATGACCTACATTTAGCGATCAGGTTTGAGTTTGTGTGCATGTCTGAAATGCATTAGATTAAGGTTGAGCGCAACAACTTAAAATGGGAACGGCACACCCTGGAGTGTAACAGAGAATTACTGTTTACCGGTGGGGGTGGTTTATGAAACAAATAGACAACGCGTTTTTGTTTGGTTAGATGAGTAAGAAGTAATGATTACTGGGAACCTCGGTCCCTTCTACCTTGTATACTGAAACGTTGTCAATGATATATGTAGCTTCCGATTAAGAGGCAGATGCATTTCTTTCATTTTCTGTTCATACATTTAAGATGAACCGAAAGTACAACTTCACTTCGAGGAAATTGGACTTTGACCTACTCCATGACAAACAACAACCTGACTGTGTATCACGTTATAACAATAGTTTAAAATGGCAGTAGATAAAAACGTTCGTCATGCATAAAAACAGACCTAAGTTGGCTTTGATGTGCGATCGCGAAGTGAAGGATGACACATAAGTATCGATTTAGAATGGCAGCTGAGCATACCACTGATACCTGGCTCCAAGAGTGAAGGAGAGATACTAAGGCAAGATGATGAGTACTTTACACTGGTTTACAATGCTCCATCCCAGAACACGGGGATGTTGTCGCCCAAGTAAGATGTCTACAAACATTTCTGTAAGGAACACAAATCTGGACATGGTGACGGCAATTCACAGCCCAGAGTGAATTCATGAAATGGGCTTCACACATTGTACCCAAGTGGGGAATCGAACCCGGGTCTTCGGCGTGACGAGCGAACGCTTTAACCACTAGGCTATCCCGCCGCCCCTTCACTTATTTGGGAAACGTTTGTCATTAAAATTGTTTTAAAATGCACTGTTGTCATGCAAGGTTATAAACAGAGAGTTAAAATGCACAAGGTATTACAAAAGCTAACAAAATAACACACGTTTCCGAAATTGCTCAATAATTGGAGCGAGTGAGTTTGGTTTTACGCCGCTTTTAGCAATATTCCAGCAATATTACGGCGGGAACACCAGAAATGGGCTTCACACATTGTACCCATGCCGGCTCAATAATTGGAACATGGTGGAACAATGTGGACATGGTGACATGTTGACATGTTGACTAGGATTATCAGCCCAGAGGAAATTCATGATTGGGAAACAGATACGAAAGCAGTTAAACACCGAACTCTTGCACTTTGTTTAACGTGTATTTAATGAATATATGATTAAACATTTCATGTACTTGCAATAGTCTTCAAGTAGGAGTCACCAATGCAATACTCTAACGTGATGTTTTAACCACTATATTCTGGAGTGACATGTTCGAAAACTGACTTTAAGTTTATAATTTAAGTTAATGATCTTATGCTAGATTTACTGATTAAATGTAAAGACTACTACTACTACTACTACTACTACTACTACTACTACTACTACTACTAATGGACTAAATGGATCAGGTTACTTGGTTCATTGCATGTCACCGAATAACGATTACTTGGGACGTCATGTAATACCAGTCACTTGAAGATGAAGAAGTATGTGACCTGGTACTATTTATTCTGCCAAATGCAGGAAGAAAGATGTGTTTGAAATTCATTCTATTGATCGAAATGTTCCTTAATTCCAGATAATATTTTTGCATGTTCTGTGTTTTCAAGGGGGCCGCCATCTTGTTTGCCAAAACACGTACCGGTTTTTGTTTCGATCTGGAATCCTTATTCAACGTTCAATTTTGATTACATAAAGCACACAATATTAAGAGGTAAGGGATTAAAGAAGAGACTGGTGTATACATTTTTAAAAGTGAGTTTTTTTTAATAGCCAATCGGAGATGTAATTGTGCGCTGAGAAATCATACAGCGCAAATCGGTTAACTTTTGTTACGGGACTATCCGCTGCCCCCACTACTGACATATAAAAAAAATAAATTTAAACACGGAATGATGAAGTGATTCGGTAACCTTATCTACGTACCCCCTGATCATATATGAACAATTGTGATAAAGATTATATCTTACAAAGGGTAAACTTCTTCAGTTTATTTATGCCTACATGTTACATGAAAAGCCTAGCCATAATGCATAATGACGATCAATAAAATATTTAGGTTAAAAAAACAACACAAACTTTTATTTTCTATGACTAAGTTTCCACTCAAATCAAAGTTCAACTAATATAAAAGACTGAAGTCTCGTTTCCGCCTACATATAACCTCGTATCTGTAACATATTGACATTTATTTCGTTTCGCAAACGAATCCTGAATGTATACAACATATTCCAGTTGTGAATTCCATTTCCAGTTTTGTGAATAGCAATCTGACTGCGTTATCATTAAGACGTGGTCTGAGGCCTAATAAACATCTGAGTATCAACGAGTGTTATCCCTGACTTCCACTGGTCACCAAGACGAAACAGTATCGAGTTTTAAGATTCGAGAAATACTATTTTTCGATATGAGTGGAAGAAAACGTACCTCGTCTTTTAAACCCGTGATATTCACCCAAGCTAAGATGTTCGCTAAAGTTAAGCGTGATCCTAAGCAGTATAGAGTGGGGGCCACATGTGAGCCCATTGGTTCTCGAATATCTGGCTACAAGACTGAAGGAAGAAAATATGATAACAAAAATGTGTACTGGGCCGCTTCCAAAAATCCAAGGATGAAAGAGGACAAACTCTTGGGGCTGCTGCCTAAAAAGCACCCCCATAATGACCACAAGTTGAGTAATTTACCTAAAGGACGTAGTGGCTCGGTGTAAATCATTGACATGACGAAAAAATAAGAACAACAAAAACAACAAAGAAAGACCAAGAACAACAAAAGAAAGACCAAGTAAGCAAAGTTTGGATCTGGGGCTAAATATTACTAGAGATTGATTGTAACAGTGAAACAATTCATTGAAGCTATGTAATCCTTCTGTTATATTCAAGAGTTGAACTATACAGAACAGTGCTGATTAAAATCCAGGCGATCTGCTGAAACAACTGGAATATAACGAACACAAAATCAAACAACTTCGGATAAGTGCATCTGCCTTTTGCATTAATGTTTAATGCTTTCTCATTTTGGTTATGTTGATGAATATGTGTTAATATGTACCGTAAATATCTGACGTTTTTCTTAAGTAAATGCGAATACGGATTTGTGAAAAGAAGGCAATACGGATTTAAAAACAGTCCCAGGGAATCACACGAGCTAAGTTTATCATGAAAAATATTCGTTGATATTGTGATAGTTTTCCTAGAATAAGCTTGTGCTTGATATTGAAACGAAAGTAGATATCAAAACACTCACCCGGGGCAATATATAGTTATGATGTTGTGTCTCAATATATCGTCATTGCATACCTGCATTGACATGTTGTAGTTTACTCTTGGGTGACATAAGGTTATCTGAACACAAATGCGAAACAGTCACACAATGGCACATCGACATATTTGGCATGCAGCCTACACACAGGTAAAGGGGTCAGACAAGATTGATAATCTCGCCAATGCAATTAATGGTATGGATAAATGATGTCTTTGTTATGCAGATGAATCGTTTGATTGACACTATCCTCATTTAGTTAATAGATGCTGTTGCTAATAAAATGTAGCTACCCAGTATTCAGTGTTCAAAACCCGTACATTATGGAGACGTGTCTTGAAACTAGTCAATACAAATGAAAGGAGCAATGCACATGAAAAACAGTGTCAGCCATCAACATTTATAGCTGACAATGGCGGTAATCAATAGCGACAAAACCTTTTCCATAATCAACACTCATAAATTCACTTTCACCTATGCACACTTCAGGACTACCCTCTTTCTTAATAATAATAATAATAATAATAATAATAATAATAATAATAATCAATCGATTATATTTACCAATCATTATGGGAGGGCGTGGTTTGATAAACGTTGGGGCACTTCATGACGGAATTGTTTTGTGCACTTTTGAACACATTTATTTGTCTGTTGATCCTCTTGTGAAGCATGTCAAGACTCATGATGAAAACAAGGCATTCCACAGTTTTCGTAAACGAGCCATGGATGTGGGACATAATCTCAATGTCAGTGTTGATTTTGTTGATGGTTCTGTTCTGCTGAGTGTCAACCAAGTGAAGTGCCATATCAAATCGACCAAGACTCAGTTCTTCAAGGAGAGGCTATCTTAACGACCACTGTATCGAGTTTATTTGCAGTGTGTTGAGAAGGTTAGCGACCCTGCAGCGTCACTTGGATGAGGTCGGCTGGCCTGAAAAGTGAAACAGAAGGCTTTCTGTTTGCTGCTCAGGACCAGCCACTTTCCAATTGAAACCGTCAATGTGTGATTTTACATCAAAATGTAAATATGATATGTAGATTATGTAATGATTTTAATGAGACTGTCCAACACATTGTCAGATGATGCCCAGCTTTGGCACAAACACTGTATCTTTAGCGACATGATATAGTGACTCGATCATTTTATTACCGTCTTCGCCATGCTTGTGGTTTTGACACAGAGGTCCATCCATGGTACGACCCTGAATATGTAGAGGGCGTCATGGAAATTGATCAAAACAAAATCTTTTGCAATAGGTCCGTATACAGCCTCAGACGAATCCAGGCCAACAAACCTGATCTTGTCCTTTTTGATAAATCTAATGAAATGATTTATATCATTGAATTTTCTGTCCCTTTCGACATAAATGTGATTGACAAGATTGATGAAAAACATGGCAAATATGCGGACCTCGCTGTCGAAATGTCACGCTTGCATCCCAAGTACCAAGTTGTTCGACTCCCCATTGTTCTCGGTGCCTTAGGTTTGGTACCTCCCAATCTGTTGACTGAAATTCGGAGAGTATCCGGGTACCAGATAAAACAGCCAGTCTGACAATCTGGGTAATGCAGAAGACTGCAGTGTTGGGGAGTCTTCACATTCTCCGAAAAGTTCTGGGTGCCAGGATCACCCAAACCTTCTTTATGCATTTTTTATTTTAATCTGTAAATAATAATAATAATAATAATAATAATAATAATAATAATAATAATAATAATAATAATAATAAATCGGCCCAGTCTCAGGTTTTCAAGAAGAGGCTATCTGAACGAACACTGCATCGAGCGAGTTTATTATTTTATTACCGTCTTTGCCATGCTATTGGTTTCACATATAGGTCCAACCATGGTACGACCTGGAATATGTTAATAAGTTAAAATGTTCAAAGGTTTATCAATTAAATATTTAGTATTAGGACTGCTTCACTTTTGGATCTGTAATATAATTTTAATCATGATAAACTGAGGGGCAAAAGAAAGTATAAAGTTTATTATGTCTATTTAACCATCACTCATTCCTGCAACCGTTTGTATAAAGTGATCTCACGCTAAGTAAAAAAATACGTTTGCAAGCACATGACCACACAGAGTTCAAAGAAAACCAGCTTGCTCAGGTTTGAGCACAGTTGTTACCCTGTTCCATATAGGAGATTCATATGCATAAAGAAACAGTTCAGAAAGAAGGGGAGCACACTTGGTGCTTATGGGGACGCCTACTTCTTGTGTAAATGTCGTACCTCCACATAGTACCTTTTACATAGATGTTATCAATGAGGAAGTCCAGCATTTCCATATTGTAAACTTCAGATCACTTGGTTGATAAAGGTGAAGAATGTACAACGAAACGTCGCCTCGACTGTAATAAAGAAGTAGTTTATTTATAAGGACCTTACCTTGTTCAGGTTTTCAAATGTTCAATACCATTCATGTTACCTCTGCAACATTACTTTGCAATGTACACATGCATGCACAATATACACACTTGCTGCAATATAAGGAAACTGCAGGGAGTATTACCTATACATAAGTTAGTAATTGTGTTTGTGAGCTGGGTGTCACACCTCCATTAGCATATCTAATAGCATCTCCGGTCGGAGAAACAAAGAATGGATTCCTAATGTTGTACCAGTGTTGGGAATCAAACCAGATCTTCGGCGTGAGCCAATGCTTAAACCACAAGGCCACCCTAACAAACCACCATAGTACCAGCATAGCTACATTGAATATAGTAGATATTACAAAAAAAGGACTTATCACATTGAAGTGAATAGCTCATTTCCTTTAGTTAACGCAATGTCGCCAGTAATACTATTTGTCTGAGTAAACATAGTCTGCTAACTCTGCAAGTATGTGAGTGTGAAGTGTAATCAATAGCTGAATGTGTCATTTGCAACACAACGATCGGTGCTGTTGCCATCAGGAGATCAACCTAGGGCGTACTATTATGTTTACGACCAAACAAATATAGACGCACTGAATAACACCTCATCCGCTTCAAAGCTATGTGGACCCATGAAGATCTGGTTTAGAATAGGTCTTCATGCTTGCTTTGAAAGGCGGCTATGAAAGGCGAATAACGGGATCGAGTGGTCAGGCTCGCTGATCATGACTTGGTTGATGTTTGTCATCGTATCCCAATCTGGTCCAGACTCGATTATTTACAGATCGCCGTAGTAAATCTGGAATATTGCAGAGTGAGGCGTTACACAACCAACAAACAAATAAAAAAAGCTATTTTGGGTTATGCTACAAGCCGTTGTCTGGTATAAGTAATCTCACAGTTGGGACCATATAATTGTTAGAAGCAAAACGTGTGTGTGTGTGTGGTGTAAGGGAGACAACTTCACATCGAATGTGTTATAAGGGCACTAGTGCAGTGGACCATTGCAATGAAAATAATAAAGTGCAAAACAATAACAACAAAAAACGTTTACATACATTTTTAATTAAGTGTTACATACATGTTACATTCAGCGAATTAAACTTAAGTATTGTAAAATTGTTTAAGAATTGATTTCAATGTGTTTTGCGTTCATGTGGTATAAACGGAGAGACCTGTGTACAAACAAACCACCGTTTTTCCCTTTATACATCGATAAGTGCAAAACTATATTGAAGACAGTCCTTATAAATAAATACGTCAACAATAAAAGACGTCACATCTGCTTATTTAATCATCAACACATTTTACTATATTATATTTTTGACATAATTTGATTCATATTTCTTTCATGGCCAGGTTCTGTAGTTGGAAACCAGATCAGAAATATTGCGTATGCGATGTTTGTATTCTTTGTACTCTTGTCGTTTCTGGCATGTAATATTGTGCACACAACGATAGCAAAGTAAGAAATATGACCCGATGAAATTATAAAAATCACTTTTACCATTCATCAAATTTCATCACAAGAAATGTCTCGTAAATACATTGTAATCAGCTTAAAGATGGTTAAAAAATCTTAAAAACTACATAATTGGAAATTGAAATAAACTATTACAGTTTGAATTTGTGCATGTTGTCTTATACGATCAGTATCACATTGTGTTTACCTTTAACACTAGTAAGAAGCATTTTCTACAGTGGTGTATAATACTAACTGCCACTAACTGGACGTTAAATATGTTGATACATTGGTTATATTTAAAGCAATATGCTCACGGGAATATACATGTAACTTTCTCTCACACAAAGTACAGTCAAACCACAACCCTACGCCTCTCGCCGGCTTCCTTTCATAACGCAAAGTGGCTGCGATATGTACTCCTTTGTGAATCACATGTCCGTGACTGTGGACCTAGCTGTGATTCTGGAACAACTAGGTCAAGAATGTTTGATACAACAGTGTAACAACCGAGACTTACATGAAACTATATAGGCAGTAGCCTGTACATTAATCACCTACCACTCCGGTATCACTATGCACCCACACATTATACTCGACATAAAAAGGTTTCCAACTGTTTCCTATTATATCAAAACGAGGGAACCGTTTGCTCAAAGGGAAGAAATCCAGAGGCTATATGTATCCATGCCACAATTAACTTGCGGTCGTGTTCCCAGCATGAATGTTGCATATATTGCAAGACGTTCTCTGTTCCTACTGTGTGGAATGGTGAGTTGGGTTTTACGCCGCGTTTAGCAATATTCCAACAATATCACTACAGTGGACAATAGAAAGAAGCCACGTGCGGATTCGAACAATATCATCGGCGTGACGAGCGAACGCATTAACCACTATGCTTCCATCACTTCTCCTGTATCCACATGAGGTCAAAATATTGGACTGTAAATCAATGGCTCCTTAACTGCCGCCCAGTACATCTACTGACAACATTAAATGTTGACGTTGGCATTTTCACACTCTATGTGTCCATGGTACGCACATCCGCTGTCTTGTAGGACGTTATTGTAATTTTTACGCACGTGTGTAAGTAGCATCACACAAATCTAAATATTTCATATTTAGAAAAAGCCAATAGTTTGCTGATCCAGTTACAGACGTACACTAGTATTATGAATCAGGATGGTATCCCTTGTCTTAAGCCATCATAGCATGCAGTCTCCTTGTCCCCAGGATGTTTTAACTGCAGATTATATACACGTAGCCGCCCCCAGGGTAGGGATAGTGACTAATCTGTTTGTAGATGTATGGATGGTTGTCTGGCAACAGAGACAAGAGTTGCTGCTCACATTCCTGGACGTTTTCAACCATCGCGTAGAAAATCCTGGAAAACACTGGCCCATCATGGCTGATATTCCTTGACATCAAATCATTGGTGGCTCCGATTTCATACTGATAGGGGTTGTTTTGTAGCTGTTGCACCAGCTGTTCAAACCAGACTTCAACGAGTTGGCAAGAATCATACGACGCCGTTTGGTAGGACATGCTGACAGATGAACTCCAAAGCATACACCTGATGTTAATCGGGCAGTGAAGTGTAGATAACTGTTTGGTATGGTGCTATAGGGTTGGTATTTGTTTACGACTTGTTTACATGGAACACACGGGAACAGTCTTTGTACTGTCATGGGCATTCAGAGTCGATATGTCGGCATTGTTCACATCAGGTGTATGTTGTATGCAACAAATGTCTCGTTAATGCTCTGCATACAAGGCTATCAACAATATCTCACGCTAAATGGCATTCGTCTTTTATACTTGTTACACTATGAGAATAAACGTTCAGCAGATATTCAATAGGAATCCTGTCAACCATACGTTGTGAAAGGCTACTCCCTTCAATTGGTGTGCGAGTCTTTTGATGTAGTTAAACAACTTCTTTTGAATCGGCGCAGGTGTATGAATTTATTTCAGTACGACTACCCTTACAGTAACCAACATGTTGAATATTATAAAAGACCATACGGTGTTCTTCTTAGGAAGGCACATTAAGTAATATCATCTTTTTGCGGAAATGTATTTTGATGTGTATAAATGTACATTTATAAAATGTATTAACCAGTGAGTATGGAATTGAAACAACAATATATAGGTAAGTATGTGCTTTTATTCATGTACTAAAGGAATAACTACACAATTTAAAGCATGAATATGAATAATGAATATGAATAATAAACATGTATTTACTTCCGAAAAATGTCAAGACAAACTCTGAATTGCTGTGAACGCCTTCATTCGACGACAATATTTCGGCTGAATGTTGTGTTAGATACTCTGCCAACAGCTGCACAGTGAGTGAAATTCGGGCAATCAAGTGGCATGTCCCATTTATTCAGGTGTAGGCGTGTTTGGGTGAGCTGATCCCAGTCAAACTGGGAACAACTATCACACTCTGTTCACTTGATACATGGACTTCATCTAGACAATGCAGACAATGAAGAGCCAAGTTGTTAATGGCAGATTTTCATAAGTCTACATTTGTATTCTGCCCGATGTTTGTCTTTGATATGGGCATTCTGGTGTGTGTCACTTACCTTCATACACACCACCCTAGTACACTCTCATACACTTTTTCACACATCCCTCATTCGTACAGCTTCATACACATACACACGCCATTACCCCTCCCGGGCTGTCGTACATCTTCATACATTCTTTCAAATAACACGTTCATACTCTCTCAACCCTCATTCGTACACCTTCATACTCTCCCACCCCTCATTCGTACACCTTCATACTCTCTCACTCCTCATCCCGACACCTTCATACTCTTTCACCCCTCATTCGTACACCTTCATACTCTCTCACACCCTCATTTGTACACCTTCATACTCTCTCACACCTCATTCTTACACCTTCATACTCTCTCTATCCTCATACGTACACTTCATACTCTCTCACACCTCATTCGTACACCTTCATACTCTCTCACCCCTCATTCGTACACCTTCATACTCTCTCACCCATCATTTTTACACCTTCATACTCTTTCACTCCTCATTCGTACACCTTCATACTCTCTCACCCCTCATTCGTACACCTTCATACCCTCTCACCCCTCATTCGTACACCTTCATACTCTCTCACCCCTCATTTTTACACGTTCATACTCTTTCACTCCTCATTCGTACACCTTCATACACATACACACGCCATTACCCCTCCCGGGCTGTCGTACATCTTCATACATTCTTTCACATAACACGTTCATACTCTCTCACTCCTCATTCGTACACCTTCATACTCTCTCACTCCTCATTCGTACACCTTCATACTCTTTCACCCCTCATTCGTACACCTTCATACTCTCTCACACCCTCATTTGTACACCTTCATACTCTCTCACACCTCATTCTTACACCTTCATACTCTCTCTATCCTCATACGTACACTTCATACTCTCTCACACCTCATTCGTACACCTTCATACTCTCTCACCCCTCATTCGTACACCTTCATACTCTCTCACCCATCATTTTTACACCTTCATACTCTTTCACTCCTCATTCGTACACCTTCATACTCTCTCACCCCTCATTCGTACACCTTCATACCCTCTCACCCCTCATTCGTACACCTTAATACACTCTCACCCCTCATTTTTACACGTTCATACTCTTTCACTCCTCATTCGTACACCTTCATACACATACACACGCCATTACCCCCGCCCGGGCTGTCGTACACCTTCATACATTCTTTCACATAACACGTTCATACTCTCTCAACCCTCATTCGTACACCTTCATACTCTCTCACTCCTCATTCGTACACCTTCATACTCTCCCACCCCTTATTCGTACACCTTCATACTCTCTCACTCCTCATCCCGACACCTTCATACTCTTTCACCCCTCATTCGTACACCTTCATACTCTCTCACACCCTCATTTGTACACCTTCATACTCTCTCACACCTCATTCTTACACCTTCATACTCTCTCTATCCTCATACGTACACTTCATACTCTCTCACACCTCATTCGTACACCTTCATACTCTCTCACCCCTCATTCGTACACCTTCATACTCTCTCACCCATCATTTTTACACCTTCATACTCTTTCACTCCTCATTCGTACACCTTCATACTCTCTCACCCCTCATTCGTACACCTTCATACCCTTTCACCCCTCATTCGTACACCTTCATACTCTCTCACCCCTCATTTTTACACGTTCATACTCTTTCACTCCTCATTCGTACACCTTCATACTCTCTCACCCCTCATTCGTACACCTTCATACTGTCCCATCCCTCATTCGTACACCTTCATACTCTCTCACACCTCATTCGTACACCTTCATACCCTCTCACCCCTCATTCGTACACCTTCATACTCTCTCACCCCTCATTCGAACACCTTCATACTCTCTACCCTCATTCGTACACCTTCATACTCTCTCACCCCTCATTCGTACACCTTCATACTCTCTCACCCCTCATTCGTACACCTTCATACTCTCTCACCCCTCATTCGTACACCTTCATACTCTCTCACCCCTCATTTTTACACCTTCATACTCTTTCTCTCCTCATTCGTACACCTTCATACCCTCTCACCCCTCATTCGTACACCTTCATACTCTCTCACTCTTCATACGTACACTTCATACTCTCTCACCCCTCATTCGTACACCTTCATACTCTCTCACACCCTGATGCGTACACCTTCATACTCTCTCAACCCTCATTCGTACACCTTCATACTCTCTCACCCCTCATTCGTACACCTTCATACTCTCTCACTCCTCATCCCGACACCTTCATACTCTTTCACTCCTCATTCGTACACCTTCATACCCTCTCACCCCTCATTCGTACACCTTCATACTCTCTCACTCCTATTACGTACACATGTACACTTCATACTCTCTCACCCCTCATTCGTACACTTTCATACTCTCTCACACCCTCATGCGTACACCTTCATACTCTATCACCCCTGATTCGTACACCTTCATACTCTCTCACCCCTCATTCGTACACCTTCATACTGTCCCATCCCTCATTCGTACAAATTCATACTCTCCCACCCCTCATTCGTACACCTTCATACTATCCCACCCGTCATTCTTACACCTTCATACTCTCTCACTCCTTATTCGTACATCTTCATACTCTCCCACCCCTCATTCGTACACCTTCATACACCTTTTCACACATCACCTCTCATTCCTACATCTTCTTAAACCTTTCACAACACCACCACTCACCCGTACATCTTCACACACCTACACACACCATCACCCCTGACTCAATTTCATAGACTTTCACCCCTCATTCGTACACTTCTTACATTTACATGCTAATAACTGGATTTTTCTGTACAAACGAAACGTTTAAAACCCGAGAGCCAAAAACAAAGTCGGCTGTATGTGCGCTTTAAATACCTCACAAAATATTTATGGAGTTGAAGCAATAAACGATATGTTCATAGTGCACAAGTGTGGATATTCTGCTTCTTATAAGTAAAGAAACAATATGTTCGTGTTGCGGTTTTAACGTCTCGGCGTCTCGGTCCAAACATTTCTATGTAATTGGTAACCATAATTGGTAACTTCCATCAGGAGAAACATCAACCCAGTTCAAGTAAATATACTGAACATCATTGAAAACGCACCAGCAATAAATCTTGAAATATTACAAAAAGAACTTGAGCAATGACCGATTTTGATTAGAATAGACATAGACGGATTATTAAGAAAGACGATAAAGGAAACAGTAATACCACACAGTAATTACAATTACGTCATCAGTGCAAGGAAGACACATAGGGTTAAAATGAAAAGTCAATATCTGGTATGTCCGCAGGAGAATGTGGAAGATACCCGCTTTACATTAATTCACAAATAAAGTGTTTAAAATATTGGTTTAATATCATCCGTATGCCAGAACATCGGCTTCCGAAAAAAGCTTATAACATGCTCTTTCATTTAGATAGTATCGGTAAGGTTACATGGGTATCGCATATTAGGACACTATTATTCTCACATGGATATGGGTATATATGGCTTAACCAATCTGTTAGTGATCAACATTTATTTCTAAATGATTTTCGTAAAATAGCAATAAATATGTTCTATCAAGGGTGGCAATGCAAAGTGGAAAACAGTTCACGTTATGATTTGTACAGAACATTTAAGACTCTATTAGAGCCAGAAAAATATCTATCAGTTTTAACAAATAGTCACCTAAGAAATGGATATATTAAATACAGACTTGGCTTGTAAAAACTTATGATTAACTATGGACGGAATATATAACTTGAAAGAATACAAAGAATTTGTCCATTCTGTAACTCTGCAAAAGAAGACGAAATACATTTTACCTTTGAATGTCCTTATTATGCAGAATTACGTACTAAATATATACATGTACCAGAATGTTTCTTATCTAAGACGAGTAGAATAGCTTTTGTTTCTATTTTGTCATCGAATGATGCCGATGTACTGTTTAAACTGTCTTTATTTGTAAAACATGGGATGGAACTACGAAATAACATGTTGAGTGGAAATTCATAATTTTAATTACCTCACCCCAGAAAGTCCTCATGATTATCACCGATTGTTAAATGAATGTTATATTTATATAATTTTTGTTGTATCTCCCAATCTGTAAATTCTCACCCACTGTATTTATTTGAACTTGTATATGGGCCGATGGCCTTTGATACAATAAACATCTTTGACTTGACAGCAACACAGGCCATGCAACGTCTTCTCATTGATCGAATAAGTCTGCGAATAGTTTCTGGGGCATTCCACTCTTGACTTAGTGTATCTTCAAGTTTTGTACTTACGGACGACGTGAGAGGCGTTGACCCAGGTAACCCTGTAGATGTTCAATTGGCGATAGATCGGGTGACAGGGCTGGCCATGGAAGCAGAGGCACGTTATTGTTCGCTAGGTACTGTGTTGAAACACATGCTGTGTGCGCTCTTGCATTATCTTGCTGGAAGGTGTGCATATCCTGGTGCTGATGAAAGAATGGGATGACGTGATTTGCCAATATGTTATTCCTGTGGTAAAGGGCATTAACTCTTCCACGACAAACATGGAGCTCTGTTCGATGGTTATGACTGATGCCGCTCCACACCATGACCCCCCCCCCCCCCCCCCCCGCTCCACACTATGACACCCCCCCCCCCCCCCCCCCCCCCCCCCCCCACACACACACACCCATCGATCTGTCTGTACAACGCAGTCATTGGTAACATGGTAACGTTCTCCACGTCGACGCCACACTCGCAGTCGACCGTCAGCATTCCGTAAATGAAAACGGGACTCATCAGAGAACAGCACACAATGCCACTGCCGCAATCTCCAATGACGATGCCTTTTGGCCCAACGCAGACGTTCATTTCGATGTCGCTCAGTGAATATGGCTGAGCGGAGACGTCGACGTACGGTGTCAGCACTGATCAATTCCGTCGGCCTTGTACGGTTGCTGCAGTCCTGGTAGCCCGAAGTGTACGATCACGAAGACTCCGACGGACAATATGGCGATCCTGACGTGGTGTAGTTACACGACATTGACCCGGACGTGGTCGATCTCTGGTGGTTCTTGTCTGCTGGTATCTGCTCAGTAGCCTGAGGACTGTTGAATGATGGCATTGAAACCGTTGTGCAACGACTCCACTTGACGTACCAACTTGAAGCATACCCAAGGCACGTTCACGTTCCTCTGCTGTTAATCTTGGCATTTCTTGAGGCAGAACCCTTTACGTCTGCAGCAACAAGTGATGTGGCTTTTAAAAGTCTGTCTTTTATAGCCCTATTCTGCATGCTTCCCGTGACACAAAACACGTTTTCCATGATGTGCACGCAATTTGTTGCGTTTTGGCGATTTCGCTCACAAAAAAATTAGGAATGTGTTTTGACGAGCTGTCCTCTTCATGCTGCGTCCAGAACGTCGTATAATAATCATTCACTTATATATTTTCATATGACTTAAGCCCGGATAAAAATACATCCATTTTCATGGTGGTGCGTTTTCAATGATGTTCAGTATATAACACGTCGCTGGTAATGTGTTATGTTTTCAGATAAGTCCCGATTCACTTTGCACTTTCTTCATAGGCACGGTAGAGTCTGGCGACTTCGGAAAAGAACGTGAAGTCCATGTCAGCCTGAGACCTCATGACAGATTTGGTTGTGGATCGGTAATGGTGTGGGGTGGCATCACTATGACTGACCGAACCCGATTCCATATAATGTTTAAGGAAGGATCACTGGACAGTACTAACGTAACAACACACTGACACCTTTTGTTCTCCCGTTTGCAAGGCGTGTGCGTTGACGGTTTGTGTTTCAGGACAACAACGCCCGTGCTCACCATGCACGAATCGTCAGTGCTCACCTCCATCAGCATAACATCCATAGAATGTCATTGCAAGCAACGAGCCCAGAGCTTTCCAAAATCTTGAACACGTCTGGGACAGACGCCCTCAAATCGCCATGAGGAAAGTCATACCCGGTATGCCTCGCTGAGTGAACGGATGTTTGACGAATCGTCGCGGTACTAGGCACGACTGATATAAAAAGGTCAATTTTGAAATTTTAAATCTTCCCAATTATCGTCCTTCAAGATCGTTGGCGGTCATAACATTTACTATCACACTACATTACCGGTGTTCCAAATTCGTTCAATAAAATCGTACACCTATTCCTAGAAACTAATATTTCTTACAAGTTTGGAACTTTTCACTTAGTTCCGAGTATCCATACTGTTGTTTAAGCGAATTTAAGGTGGATACCGACCCCACGATCGAAATCATTATACAGTTAATTTGAATCTGAAGATATTAGGCAGAATCTGTCAGATTCTGTATTTCACAGAATAAAAATAATCATATCAGGAAAGAACAAACTAACGTAATAGATTTTAACATTTATTTAAAAGAAACAGACAAATATAGCTATGGTAGCAGACAAATGCAAAGTCATTGTTGTTATAATTCATCATCAAACACATTTTTACATTCCTTAAAAGAAATATATGATAAAGGAAGGGAATTTATGGATATCAACTTCTTTATTATAAGAAACACAACGTTTCGGATTATATGCTTACTCCTTCATCAGGTAAATGAATGATATAAGGCAGAGAACATGTTTTTACACGTAAGAACAACAAAAGTAAGATAGCAAAAGGTGGAAACTAAACAAGGGTAGCCAACAGATAATTGGCGCTGATAGGCGATTAGCAATAGACATTGATAGCCAACTCTTTACAGTAATTAGCGCTGATAGTTATGGACAACAAGAAGCCAGGACTAAATTATCACTGAAAGGTAAATGGCAATGGACAATGGGCAAAAGAGAGGCCGGGGGTAATTAGCACTATCAGTCATTAGATGGTTGGCTACAAATAATGGTTGGCCTTTTCATACATTCAGCACCAAGGCTAACTTATACACATTTTGGTAGAGAACGATTACAATCTTATTCCAGAATTACAATGATCTCATGAAAACAAGTACATTTCAAGAATCACAGCAGATTGGGATTCATTCCATTTTTAACAATATTTTTTTTATTCTTTCTGATTACTTTCTGTAGTCCCTCCTTTAACGGTTTTGCTTGGAATACCGTCTAAGTGTAAACAAACTGGCATATGCTTAGATTCCACTCTATTTTCTATGAAGAACGATGCACAATATCTACACACGTTTGGTGATCCATTAAAATATATAGAGTTTACTACACTACATCCCTGTTCGGATATATACATGTATAGCTACCATCACAAACTCCTGCAGTTCTACCATTGAAATATATAAATGTTATGGGTAAAACACATATTTAATAGCCTTTGCCCGAACGTAATTATGATACCGTCCATTGACCTTCTTCGTTCTACAGGGACCGAATGTTCCACAGGGAACGCTTCTAAGTCTGACGCTTGTCCGTACATACTCGTAAATCAATATGGTGTACAGATTTTCTACCGAAAGATAAAAGTATTCTTTCATTGACTTAGCATGTCCGATTGATGTATATGACATCCGACCCTACGAAAATGTATACTGTTCATAACGACTGGTAAAACACAAACTCAAAACTGAGGATAAATGTACATGCATGTCCTGAATTGTCGGAATGTTGAGACGGCAAAACTAAAAGTCGACATTATGGCCCAACCAGAATGTTCATGCAGTTTTTCAAATAACAGTAACAAAACAGGGTCCATTGTATGATACCGTCTATGACATACGCATGAGTTAATGAATCACTATCAAATAGTGCTGAGACCAGGTGTTTGCCAAAAGGTTAAGGTATCCTGCCCTACTGGTGGAAATGTTATGAATTCACTCAAAAGTGTGACATACATAATCGAAGAAACATATCATATAATGTAAAAAGAAACATGGACCACAGATACCAGTACTTTTGTTAGCACAAATAAATTCTAAAGACTGCTGTACATGAAACTAGACTTTTGAATTTTTAATCATGTCTGATTACTTGCACATCGACTTCGCGTTGAAAAGCTCTTCTTACGTTTTGTTTTGTGTAGTGGATGCCAACTCTTGGTAGTTCACTCACATGTGGACCTTGTGGAGCGCAAAGCACAATCTTGACTCTTGACTTGAATTTGAAAAAGGAGTAATGGTAGGAGCTGGTGGTTCTATTTGTTTGTGACTTTTATTACCCCGCTGTGAGGAGTTCGACTTCACGCGATCTAAACAAACAAAATGTTTAAAACTTGAATTCATAAACACTTCTATAAGAGGGGTAAAATATCTTCCATGGTAGTTTTAGGGTTGACTTCTCCAAACGTATACAACATCTTAAGAAATGTAGCATTAGGAGGAACAGTTGACAGTTTCATATCTATACTACTATGTACAAGGTTTTCGTGAGATGAATACCTCCAACCCCACCCAACACACACGCACGCACGCACGCACGCACACACACACACACATACACAAGCACGCACGCACGCACGCATACACACACATACACACACACACACACATACACACACACACACCTCAAATAGAAGAAGAAACATATGGGCACACATCTTCCACTGAAATTTTAACTGACGATTAATATCTTCGAGGTTATGGCCATACACATGTTTCTCTGTATCTTGGATATTTTCCTTTAATCTTTGACCCAAATTTAAAACGTTCTTACTTTGTAGATCACTGTCAGGCAGAGCTTCTGTAACATCAAGGCCAGATCTTGACTCTGATGTTGCAGTGGTTGCATTGGGTGGAACATTCGACTCCAACGTCATCTTATTGCTCCTACCCAGTTCTGGGTGTTCGGCCTTTACAGGAACTTTACGAACAAGATATTCTGGTGTTGAATATACCCCCCAAACCCAACACTTATTTCACTGAGCATTTAAACTGATAAGTAATATGTTCGAGGTTATGGTCATACAAATGTTTCCCCGTATCAAGGATAGTTTTCCACCTTATACACACTTTTGCATTAGGAGGAACTGTTCATTCCATTACCATATCAATACTACTTCCTAGTTGTAGGCAATTGGATCCATATGAACAAGGTATTCTGAAGGTGAATACACCCGTCCCACAACAAACATACACACGCACACGCACGCACGCACGCACGCACGCACGCAAGCACGCAAGCACGCACACATTCACACACACCTCAAATAGAAGAAGAAACATATGGGCACACATCTTCCACTGAATATTTTAACTGACGATTAATATCTTCGAGGTTTATTGCCATACGCATGTTTCTCTGTATCTTGGATATTTTCCTTTAATCTTTGACACAAATTTAAAACGTTCTTACTTTGTAGATCACTGTCAGGCAGAGCTTCTGTAACATCAAGGCCAGATCTTGACCCTGATGTCGCAGTGGTTGCATTGGGTGGAACAGTCGACTCCAACGTCATCTTATTGCTCCTACCCAGTTCTGGGTGTTCGGCCTTTACAGGATCTTTACGAACAAGACATTCTGGAGTTGAATATACCCCCCAAACCCAACACTTATTTCACTGAGCATTTAAACTGATAAGTAATATGTTCGAGGTTATGGTCATACAAATGTTTCCCCGTATCAAGGATAGTTTTCCACCTTATACACACTTTTGCATTAGGAGGAACTGTTCATTCCATTACCATATCAATACTACTTCCTAGTTGTAGGCCTTTGGATCCATATGAACAAGGTATTCTGAAGGTGAATACACCCGTCCCACAACACACATACATACGCACACGCACGCACGCATGCACGCACGCACGCACGCACGCACGCACGCAAGCACGCCCACATTCACACATACACACACACACACACACACACACACACACACACACACACACACACACACACACACACACACACACACCTCAAATAAAAGAAGAAACATATGGGCACACATTTTCCACTGAATATTTTAACTGACGATTAATATCTTCGAGGTTATGGCCATACACATGTTTCTCTGTATCTTGGATATTTTCCTTTAATCTTTGACCCAAATTTAAAACGTTCTTACTTTGTAGATCACTGTAAGGCAGAGCTTCTGTAACATCAAGGCCAGATCTTGACTCTGATGTAGCAGTGGTTGCATTGGGTGGAACAGTCGACTCCAACGTCATCTTATTGCTCCTACCCAGTTCTGGGTGTTCGGCCTTTACAGAATCTTTACGAACAAAATATTCTGGAGTTGAATATACCCACCAAACCCAACACTTATTTCACTGAGCATTTAACCTGATAAGTAATTTGTTCGAGGTTATGGTCATACACATGTTTCCCCGTATCAAGGATAGTTTTCAACCTTATACACACTTTAGCATTAGGAGGAACTGTTCATTCCATTACCATATCAATACTACTTCCTAGTTGTAGGCCTTTGGATCCATATGAACAAGGTATTCTGAAGGTGAATACACCCGTCCCACAACAAACATACACACGCACACGCACGCACGCACGCAAGCACGCAAGCACGCACACATTCACACACACACACACACACACACACACACACACACACACACACACACACACACACACACACACACACACACACACACACACACACACACACACACACACACACACACCTCAAATAGAAGAAGAAACATATGGGCACACATCTTCCACTGAATATTTTAACTGACGATTAATATCTTCGAGGTTATGGCCATACACATGTTTCTCTGTATCTTGGATATTTTCCTTTAATCTTTGACCCAAATTTAAAACGTTCTTACTTTGTAGATCACTGTCAGGCAGAGCTTCTGTAACATCAAGGCCAGATCTTGACTCTGATGTTGCAGTGGTTGCATTAGGTGGAACAGTCGACTCCAACGTCATCTTATTGCTCCTACCCAGTTCTGGGTGTTCGGCCTTTACAGGATCTTTACGAACAAGATATTCTGGAGTTGAATATACCCCCCAAACCCAACACTTATTTCACTGAGCATTAAACTGATAAGTAATATGTTCGAGGTTATGGTCATACAAATGTTTCCCCGTATCAAGGATAGTTTTCCACCTTATACACACTTTTGCATTAGGAGGAACTGTTCATTCCATTACCATATCAATACTACTTCCTAGTTGTAGGCAATTGGATCCATATGAACAAGGTATTCTGAAGGTGAATACACCCGTCCCACAACACACATACACACGCACGCAAGCACGCACGCACGCACGCACGCAAGCACGCACACATTCACACACACACACACACACACACACACACACACACACACACACACACACACACCTCAAATAGAAGAAGAAACATATGGGCACACATCTTCCACTGAATATTTTAACTGACGATTAATATCTTCGAGGTTATGGCCATACACATGTTTCTCTGTATCTTGGATATTTTCCTTTAATCTTTGACCCAAATTTAAAACGTTCTTACTTTGTAGATCACTGTCAGGCAGAGCTTCTGTAACATCAAGGCCAGATCTTGACTCTGATGTTGCAGTGGTTGCATTAGGTGGAACAGTCGACTCCAACGTCATCTTATTGCTCCTACCCAGTTCTGGGTGTTCGGCCTTTACAGGATCTTTACGAACAAGATATTCTGGAGTTGAATATACCCCCCAAACCCAACACTTATTTCACTGAGCATTAAACTGATAAGTAATATGTTCGAGGTTATGGTCATACAAATGTTTCCCCGTATCAAGGATAGTTTTCCACCTTATACACACTTTTGCATTAGGAGGAACTGTTCATTCCATTACCATATCAATACTACTTCCTAGTTGTAGGCAATTGGATCCATATGAACAAGGTATTCTGAAGGTGAATATACCCGTCCCACAACACACATACACAAGCACGCACGCACGCACGCACGCACGCAAGCACGCACACATTCACACACACACATACACACACACACCTCAAATAGAAGAAGAAACATATGGGCACATATCTTCCACTGAATATTTTAACTGACGATTAATATCTTCGAGGTTATGGCCATACACATGTTTCTCTGTATCTTGGATATTTTTCGTGAAGCTTAAACACAATTTTAAAACGGCCTTACTTTGTAGATCACTGTCAGGCAGAGCTTCTGTTACATCAAGGCCAGATCTTGACTCTGATGTCGCAGTGGTTGCATTAGGTGGAACAGCCGACTCCATCGTCGTCTTATTGCTAATCCCCACTTGCAGAGCGTTGGTCTTCACGGGATCTATATCAACGGTATATACTGAAGTTGAATAAAGACACAAAAAGGACACATGCACACAGCTTCCACTCTACTGAACATTTTAACCAACCATTAACATCTTCGAGGTTACTTGAACAAGACATACTGATATTCTGATTAGTCAAAACGAAGAAGACTACTCTTCCCCTAAACATGTTAACTTTTATGTTATGGCTTAAAAGTATAAAAAAAGCAGCGGTTCATGTCAACATTCGTCATATTTAATGAATTGCACAAATTCAAGTGAAAAAAACACACACTAACACCATTAATCCTTATATATCTGTTTTAGCTGTTGATCTATTATGTCATTATTTATATTATTTCATCAGAAAGTTCTATGCGGGCTGTTCCATATTCGTCACTACTATGATGTTATTTCCAATGACTTATGACTTACTCAACTTTCAAAGTCACCAATGTGTAAACAAAGTTTTGCAAACAAAGACGTCTGAGATACATGTGTCGATGTTTAATATGAAGTGTCACTGGACAAATGTATTTGATATTTTCTGCCTGAGATCGGAGGGAGAGTCTGGCTTCAATATGAATATATGCATTTACACCATGGTTTTGTCAATTAATCATGTAACACGTTATGCTTGATATGGGAGGATACCACATGTCGCCAACGCAATAGAGAACAAGACAATGTCGTGTACAAAAATATCAATGTAAAGTTTCATATTTGACACAGCAGTTTCTGAGACGCAGATGAAACATTTTCGTAACATCGTTGAATTGTTTCACCAAAACACAAAATTTCATACCAAAATCTTCATACATTGTGGCCCTATGGTAAAGGTTAGGGTATTCTTACATTTTTTTCACGTTATATTTCTTTGTACCTTTTGACTACACAAAGGTATTCGAGAAGACGATACTTAATAAAATATCTTGAGATAAGATGCCGTATTATATTTACTGAGTTTCATTTTCAGCTCAGTGGCATTCATCAATCCACTGAGTCAAATACAAAAGAAACGTCAGGGTAAAAAAGCTGCAGCCCTCTGTGTTACAAAAGAAATATATTTCGTAAACAGTCTTTTGCAATTAAAGGCAGGGCAAAATATTTTAAAAATGGATTCGAACCAACATATTCAAACTTTATCAAAAGGTTATTTGGCTAAAAACCGCCGCCGAAACACTGCATACGTAAGGTTCAAAACTCAACTATGATACCTATCAAATACACCACCATTGATAATACTTTTCTTGTTTGTTTCATTTTAACCACCATCATACATGGGTGTACACTTTCTTTCAGTTGAATTATTGCACTTTACACTTTCGTACTGTTCTCAGAAAAAAAAGACACGTCGTCATCAACTAATATTTTGGCCAGGTGGCCAAAACATTACAACCATGTGAATGTTTACAATAAGGACAAAATAAAGGGAAGAACCTGTCTACTAGAAACACTTACTCGTCAATTGAATGTCATCGAAAGGCATCTCCACGTGGACATCTACAGTATGGGTTTCAATAACTCTTTTCAAGTGAGGGAAGTTAATGAATTTTTTGACAGATGTGAAAAAATCCTCCCAAGATTTTTCTTTTCTTTGGATTTGTAATTTAACCTTGTTTAATTGTTTTCTTTCAAATTCAATGTCCAGATATGATACTTGTTTCAGGTTACTGAGTTCAGCCATGATGGCCTCTGCTGCACCACTTCCTGGGGCTGCAAATTTAATCTTAGCAGTGTAGAGTGTTTCGGAAGGGCTCGCTGGGCCGCCTGGAATAACATAAACAGTGTGTACACAACACAAGCAACATTGGATAATTTGTGCGAATGTGTGAGGAAATCATCAAGGCACAAAGCAAAATTTTTGTCTTACAATGAAATATGAATATGTGAATATGAACATAGCTTAAACAATATCCAAATTTAAAAGGGTCAGGATAATGTTACTTAATGGTTTACTCTGTCTTTGCACTTCAGAAGGCTCCGACTCCGATGATGTTATCCTTGCACTGGGAAACTCAGTGGATTCCATTTTCATTTCATTGTGATCACCAAACTGGACGGCGTTGGCCTCGATGTGATCTAAACGAACATAATATCAATTATTGCAAAAGACAGTACTAGATATCACATCTCATGGAACCTTAAACCTGATTGAAATTCGCATATGGTGACATGTGTGTTCCAAAAACTTTCCATTGTGAATATAGTTTACAAACATGTTACACGTATCATGTTTCTGACGTGTGTGAACTGAATACTAATATGTAGTTTCAAGATTTGAACATTCATTTATAATGCTGAACTCACAATGAACATGCTCCAGAGGTGTAAATTCAATGTCAAAGTGTATGTCCTCTGTTTTTCCACTGGGAAGAGTATTCAATGCTCCCTGGCATATTCCAGCTATGATAGTTTTCATTGAGGCTTCTTGGAAAACTGGGATCTTGTCATCACCCACCGGAATTGAAAACTTAAAGTGAATGGAACTTTGTTCGATATCATCAAGCCGCATTCCATATTCAGAAAAAAGCTTAAGCATGTTGGCTTTATTCTGTGTAAGAGTTTCAAAGATCTGTGCTTCCTGTTCAGACTCGGAAAAAGATAACACTATTTCTCCGCTTGGTTGGAATAAATCTGTTACTTGTTCTGTTCCAGCTCTTTCTATTGGTAATGAGAAAAATTGTGGTATTGTATCAGAAAATTAATATATGTACTTCTAAAATGTATTTCCAAACTGCAAAACATGCAATATTAATGCTACATAATAGGTAAACTTTACACTACAAAATATCAACTAGTTAAATGTCCAGAGAACTGCAAAGTCACAAATCGAGGGGTTAGTGCCAGAACCACTTATCTCCATTTTCCCTAGATGTGAGAAATCCCACTTCAAAAGTTTGAAATGGTGCTAAAAAGCACCACTTGAAGTTTTATTAGCAATATTGTTTCCAGCCGTTGTCATTAAGTGTGCCAAACAGTATATCTTGTTTTTTCAACATAACATTGATATTAACATGTAATAAAGATAACCTGAAATATATACGATGTTCTGGCATATCTCTTCCCCAAAGAAATTCAGCTAGACTTTCAGCCAAAGCGAAGTAAATAAAGGCAACTCCATCTGGCAGCATAAACATTATACAGGAAAGGGGAAATGTGAGGCCCAGATCCTTGTAAACAGAAGTGATACATTGTGGCCCTGATAAATGATAACATTCCTGCTTGCGTCAAATTACCCCAAACACAGGACATACGTTTATGCTTCAGAAACTTTCTCAATGAGCAAGCCAATTAATAGCAATAACAGCTTATCTCCCGACAGCTGGTAATGGCTCAACCACAGAGACTGCGTGACACACAGGCTGATACCATTATCCTGGTGTAAGCTGACACTCCAAAGCATCGCTTGCTGTAAACACGTGGTTATAATCACTTACCAGCTTTAACGATTATCTGGCATTGCCTAAAAGAACTAAAGTAATGTCAGTGTTGCCTTTACCAAACATTGTTCATTTTATTAAATGCTGTACATTTACATTTACATTGCATTGTTTGTTTCAAAACTAAAAAGCTAATTAGTCTGCAAAATTAAGTTAATGTCAGGCTGTAATGCTAATGAGTGGAAATGTGTCACACAAAGTTACCGGAGAAACGTTATTCTATAAATTATAGATGAATAGAAGATCCTTTTAAAACCTTTGTTTATGTAAATATATATTCTTTTATAAAACAGTGGGTACATATTTAGCTTATTATCTATATACCAGTATATAATATGTAAAAAGTGATAGATAAATAGATAGACAGATCTGTACCCAACGTTCAATTTTCAAAATGGTGACATAACTCGCAGTATTCACAAAAAATATAATACTTTTTCCAGCTGAGCTTCATTCAAAGTCAATTTATGAACATACAAATACTGCAGTTCTTAAGATCAGTTATCTCAGATTGTATTCGGATATCCAACCTAGCTGTCATAAGACATTTTAATGTGGTTACAATCATTTTACGTTCCTAACAGTAAATGGAATTCTTAGCTTGAACATTCACGCGATTGTTGTGGCTCACTAAAAAGGAAATAAATAAGGAAGTAATGCAGTAACTTGTCAGATATAATATAGCCAGGATCAGCATTTCAGCACTGTCAGACTTCCACAAATCTGAGTCGGGTATTCATGTTTAACTGCGGCATAGTATCTCAGCGGGCTGGCACAATAATATTGGCATTAGTCCGGACTAGTGCAATCACACGCACTTACGCACGCGCGTACGCACACATAGCTATATTAGTGCGATAATGAACACAGCACCACAGTCACACATCATATTATGCAATGTCTGTGTCATAGTCTTCCTCCATAGCATCTGGTACCGGTAGACAATCAGGTCTGTTACCAGTTGGGAGAGCTTTGTAGTACTCATGATATTCGCTTGGAATAATGCCAGATCTACAAAGAGATAACAAGTCTTTCTTCTTCGCATGTGATATTTCTTGCTTCCCAGTGTATCTACAAGTAAGGGAGTTGGTTGTGTTCAGAGGTCTACCTCGTCTACTGCCTGCTGTAACCTTGATTTCTCTGAACTGCTCATCATTGTGTTCAGTTTTGAAGTAAATGCTGTCAGGGCTAGTCTTCATAAACCGCAGCCAGCGAACATTTAGCCAGTTAACTCTACCACCATCCGTGTCCACTTTAGTATTTTTCAGTCTTTGATGTGCCAATTTCTTGAAGTCCATTACATCCGTGTGTTTGATTGGAATAACGAGATAGGGGTCCTTCCTTCTTGCCATTCTGATAACAGTATCCCACTGGCTGGGAACAAAAATACTTGTCTTCTTTTTGGCGAATTCAATACTGGAGTGAATTGCATCGCACTCCATTTGGGTGTGTCCTGGCTCCAAGAATTTATGGTCAATGACATCAATGTGGTCAGTGGTAGTGACAGCATGAAGTAGGGAAGCAGCAACATATTGGTTCCTATTCTGCCCTGTGCATGTATCTGAATACAGGATAACATGGTTGATGTTAGGAGGCATTGCTTTCAACTGTATTTGTAAACATGATGCAATTTCGCATGAACCTCTCTGGGCATCAACCTCTGACCACAGAAAACATGTACCGCTCTTGTGAACAGCATCATGCACTGTGAAATTATAACAATTCAGTTTTCTCATATAGAAAATTTCGCTAACTAGCGAACATGGCGTGTACAATACTGCCTCAAGGTCAAATGTTCCAACAAAGACAGAGGATTCTGTCAAGGCAAGTGCTTTGTCCTTAATCTTTGCCTCTCGAGCTCTGATTTTTCTGGCTTGGTGTTCATTGAAATCCTTTGTTAATTGTTCTGTCAGGCAACCAGTGTCTCTTTCTCTGTAATATTGCTGACAAAGCGAACACTGGTCCTTCTTTGGTACATGGAAAGAAAAATTATATTCTTTATTGAAGACGTTTCTGTAGAGTGATGAGGACACTGGTTCTTTGTTGTCTGCAGCACACCTTTCCTTATAAAGTTCATACATCTTTTTAATATTCAGTTCTGGTCCTAAAAATTGCCTGTTTGTATCTTTTCTTGTGTAGTGGGCATCCATCTTAGGAAATGACTCAATGTGTTCCCTTACTTTTGTCAAGCGATCACTGGCAGTTTTATTGTGTGGCTTATGTCTACCGCGACGTTCTGTGCTCCCAAAGGTTCCCTGGCTCTTGTGCTGTAAGGCATGGCTGATGTATGACTCCCCAATGTCAAGAGTCTTCATGAAAAACTTCTTGCAAACAAGATGTCTTGTTCCTTCCCACTGTAGATTAAATGCCCGATAGACTTGGCGTTTCTTTTCCACCTTTTTTTCACTGTCATCCAGGTATGTACGGGTTTTCTTTTCATCAGTGTTGGAACAAACAAAATCCTTTTGCCTTTCATATGATGACAAGCTTCTAAATGCTTTAAATATACTGTGTCGAGCTTCTTCGGGGATCTTCTGGGTGCACTTATATCTACATTTTGAGCAGTCGACTGCTTTAACCGATTTTCCTTTCATGGTCTTCCCTTGCTGGTTCACATATTCCATTCCACCTAATCTCAGGTGTTTCCTTTGATTTTTTAACCATGTCTCGGGCGTCGCACGTCTCTTTCTAAACAGCACCTTTCTAGGAGGTGTATGGAAGGCTGCCGACTTTCTTGGAGTTGCAGATCGAGATGGGTTCTGTTTGTTTGGGGTTGATGCTGTATTACCTGATGACACTGTGTCGGCACCATGCTGTGAAGATACTGGAACTGGACTTGAAGTATTTGAACTGATCACAGGGCCTTCTGGCATTACATGGTTGCGTTCATTTACAGCAGTACAAGAAACATCAGAGATGCTGATGGACTGGAGACAACTTGCAGCTGATGTGGACGTTCCAGGACAGGTAGCTCTAGAAGCACATGCTTCTGTTGTTTCATGTTGAGTACTTGAGTACTGAGAAGATTTTGTGATGTTATTTTCTATCATTGTGTTTGACAAATGGTTAGCCAGTGGTGTGCATGCATCATAATGATCTTCAATACCTTTTATGGATGTAAATGCGAGGATTATTCTTCTCTCAGTGCATTGTTGAGGAATTGTAGGTTGGACATCAATTACAGGAGTTGATGCCTTGCTGGAGAAAATACGGACACCACGACCTGACCAGTTAGCAAGTGCTAATGGCAGGAAATCAGCAACCTTATTGGTGAAATATCCATTCCTGCGAAGATGTTCCACTTCCAGTGAATAACTTTGCCATGTTTCCAGGTTGTTTTCCTCCACTTCAGCATAGAAATCGGAATAAGTGATGATATTATCATCAAGATGATCACACAGTTGTTTCCTCAGTTCACATTCACTCACATTAAGTTGAAGTGCAGAAGCCTTAAAAAAGCAATTTCCATCAGCCGGTACCTTCAGTAACTTGTATCCATTACAATGCAGAAGTTGTTCTAATCTCTCCGTGTGAAACTTTTTCATTTTAGATTCATACATGTAGTTGGTATGGCTTTCATGTAATGTCTTCAGAACAACAGTTTCCTCCAATTCCCCACTTGACCTTTCATGAAATTTGCTATGAACAATATTCTTCTGATTTGGTATTGTCAATTCTGTTTCCGATTCAGTGGTGTCAGACGAGCATAAATCTTCTTCATTCGGAAGGTACTCTTCTGATGATGTTTCGATGCTACTTTCAACATGTGTATGTCTATATTTCCCCAAATAAATTAAAGGTTCGTCATCAGAGCTGTCAAATTCATTTTCATTTCCTCCCTCACTGGTATTACTGGGACGTGGCTCTATGTAGTCTTGAGGGGCTTTCATATGCGTTGCCGACAAAGGATCTGTGTTGTCAGTAGTTTGTACCTGATTAGCATCCATGTTGGTTGCCGTCAATGGATCTGCGCCGTCAGTGGTTGGTAGCTGATCAGTTTCCATGTTGGTTGCCGTCAATGGATCTGCGTTGTCAGTGGTTGGTAATTGATTAGCTTCCATGCTGGTTGCCGCCAATGGATCTGGGTTGTCAGTGGTTGGTAACTGATTAGCTTCCATGTTGGTTGCCGCCAATGGATCTGGGTTGTCAGTGGTTGGTTGCGGATTTGGTTCCATGCTCATTGCCGTCAATGGATCTGTGTTGTCAGTTGTTGGTAGCTGATTAGCATCCAGGCTCGTTGCCGTCAATGGATCTGGGTTGTCAGTGGTTGGTAGCGGATTCGGTTCCATGTTGGTTGCCGGCAATGGATCTGCGTTGTCAGTGGTTGGTAGCTGATTAGCATCCATGTTGGTTGCCGTCAATGGTTCTGCGTTGTCACTGGTTGGTAGCGGATTCGGTTCCATGTTGGTTGCCGTCAATGGAACTGGGTTGTCAGTGGTTGGTAGCTGATTAGCATCCATGTTGGTTGCCGTCAATGGAATTTGGTTGTCAGTGGTTGGTAGCGGATTCAGTTCCATGTTGGTTGCCGTCAATGGAACTGGGTTGTCAGTGGTTGGTAGCGGATTCGGTTCCATGTTGGTTGCCGTCAATGGAATTTGGTTGTCAGTGGTTGGTAGCGGATTCGGTTCCATGTTGGTTGCCGTCAATGGAACTGGGTTGTCAGTGGTTGGTAGCGGATTCGGTTCCATGTTGGTGGGTGGTTGTGGCACAATATGGTGTAATATCTGATTGTTCTCGATAATATTGCAAGCTTCCAAAATGTCTTGATCTTCGAAGTCAGAATCAAACTCACTCATTTTCCAATGCCTATAGAAAGAAAACAAAAAACAAAAGAAAACAATACATAGCACTGGTCTTGAAATATTTGTGTATGTGACATTATTTCTCAATTTACAATCTAACTTCATGTATCATATATTTACTCTTATGTAAACTTTACTTGTGTTTATGAAAGATGTTTATGTTAAAACCACAAGTCTCACCCATGTCATTTACATACTATTTTATAGCAAAATTAACAAAAAATCCCTGCGATTATCTGAAAACAACCAAGAACACACTAAAAGTTAACGAACACTGATTGATAATGACTTAAACATAAAAATCCGTTATATAAATCATCAGACGTGTTGTTGCGTCGTAACTTTATAACAATATAAGAGATCAATTTTAAAAATTAGTAAAATAACAGATAATTTAATTCAATTTACAGTTTTACTTACCTTAAACGTATTTATGTTGATGAAAATAATTTGGACTATGATATTTCCGTTGTAAGACGTTTGTGTAGTGGGGTTTATCTTCGACGCCAGGACCAAGTAATGACCATTAGTATAAGCTGACTGGAATTTAGCCCGGGAATCAGATATAAACATCCTGGGCCATAGAAGGCTAGCACCAGTTAACATCATCTGGTGCGGGGGAGCGCTTATCTCTAATCGTAAACACAAAAAGCCAGCACATCTCAAATGCTTATCAGTTGTTACGGCTCTTCAATTAAAGGAGTCTGAAGCCTATATCAGAGTGCTAGAATGTGTTAATTCTCGATACGTTTTTCTGGCTTAATAGAATTGAGTGAAAACTTTAATGTTGTGTATACCAGCATGTAGTATTTTAGTATAGAACATCCTGGCGCAACACGAGAACAGAGTTAGGTGATAAGTTGTTTATGTCTTGTTGAATATCTTTTAAAATATACAATGTAGTACAAAGATATTTTGGCGTAGGATTATATATGGTCATACAATGTTTTGAAAGTCATAAAGTCAATTTTAATATTTTACAAGATAATGTGTTCTGGCACTAACCCCTCGAAATGTTCGTACACATTCCAAAGTTTATTCCCCCTCCCAAACCAGGAGTGTTTTCCGATGAGAAGATATTGGAACGATGCAAGGTGTTACCGCCGACTCATGACGGACGACAGAGATACAGATTATTTATAGTGAGGCAAGAAAAGTGTACATAGAGGAGTAAAATGTAGACAATCCGATCACATTCATTCACCTACGTTGTGTGATCAAGGTTTTCCTTTCTTCCAACTGTTCCAGTAGACATTCTTTAGTTTTTCTAACAGTTTCCTCCATATAAACCAGATGATTACTTTGCGTTGCCACCTGCGTCTTAAGTATTTGGTTTTCCTGAAAATGCAAGTGATAACATACTCGTTACTGTGTGGTTGGGTCCTACTTCTAACCACTGGTTTACTTCATTGACACTCTATTCTTAAGCGGCTACTGTGATACAACTGACTGCAGCATAAATGCACACTGATAATTAAATGAGCTGTGTCAACCACCTTTTCTTTCCGAAATGCATATGAGATAAGTCACACCTTTAGTTTAAAACATTTACAAACTAGGAATTTACGCAAAGTATGCTCACCAGGGTTTACGTTTAAAGTCCATAAACGCAAACATATATTGAATGTAAATATAAGAGACAACCCATTTCAATAATCATAAGAAATTTGAGCTAAAAGCAGCCACCATTGTACGATCAGATCCGACCAGATAATATGCATGTGTTTATGAAGCACTATGAGAGACCGCTTATTTAAGCATTAACACAAAAAAACGTAGACAACGATACAAAATCAGTGACATCGTTCGGCGCAATAAAGCAACACATGCACCACGCTCTCCATTATCAGCCAATAAGGAAACAGTAGTCAGGTAGTGGACGTGGTATAATTTTTATTATGGAGCGAGTTAGTGAGTTAAAAATTTAAGGTCGCATCGGCGACGAGTACTAGTTATTATATTTGCAATTTAGTTATGTATGTAGATTTGTATTTAAAAACAAGTTGTGAAATATATTTGAGCATTCTATATTTAAAAACAATTTATGAAACATATTTGATCATAACAATATGATGCATATAGTTTTAAACACGGGCTATAGGCCACCAGTAACCAATGGTAACTCGCTGGGGATCATTGGGACTTGCAGTACCTTTGCTTCCTGCTTGATACCCCAGCAGGATTTACGTCATCACTTTAGCCAATATTAAAAAAAACCTCATCAACTAGTTGGCTTAAAAATGGCTTCTTTTTATAATGGAAATAGAATCGTAAAAAAATAGTTGCTTACATAGCCAATCAAATTGTGATCACATGCAATTAATATGTAACGTTTGGGAATGTAATTCTCATAACTCTGGAGTAGAAGATATCGGATTAGCTTTCAAGTTACTTCCCTTTAAGGTGAAGGTCACCCACCTTCTAGGTTGTTCGGAAATTAGCTGATGGCAACCATATACTATTCCTGTAAATGGATCCAAGGAGCCTTGGTAGCCTGTGTACCCCGAGATGAAACAGTGATCACAAGTTACCAAGCCAGCATTCCACGGTGCAGCCTTATATGCGTGCTAGGCCTTAACTAACCATTATATGTGATAGCTTTTTGTGGCTAGTATAGTTACATCTCTTTCTTAAAAGGTTAAGGACAAGTCGTCAAATATGAAAGCAAATGTCATCTAAAGTTTACTGAGAAAACAATATATTAAGTGCTGAACATTATGGATGTAACATTTATGTAAAATTTTGGGACAAGACATTTCATCAAGAAGTAGTCACGCACTTCTTGCTGATCTGTTTCTTTATGCATATGAATCTGAATTTCTGCTTGAATTGGCAAAATCAAAACAAGGGCATCTGGTCAAGAAGTTTAACTTGTACGTTAGGTATAAAGATGATCTGATATCGTTCAATAATGACCAAATAACTAAGTCCCTTTACCCACCTAAATTAGAAATACAAAAGACCAGTAAAACTGCCGACATCAGTTTTATATTTAGACTAATGTATCAAGATTCAGAGTGACAAGACACTCTCCACAAGATTGTATAACAAGAGGGGTGACTTCAACGTTCCAGTAAGTTCCCTTTATGTCGAGTAATATTCCGGCAGCTCCAGCCTTTGGCGTCTACATTTCACATCTTATGAGGTACAATCCAGTTCGCTCTTTCTACGAAGATGGCACAGAGCGTCATGCGATCTTGTTAACAAGTAGCTTGGATTACAACATTCATGACCTCGGTACAGCTGTCAAAATGATATATGGTTGGACATTTTCAACTTTGACGCATCAGTGACAAAAATGATGTAATTCACTATTTTATCTTGCACCATATGTTCCAGGTTTTTTTTCTGATGAACAATTGACATGTATTTGCAAGCGCTTATGATTGGTGCCACCGATGGGACAGGATATGCTCACCTTTTCGCGAACACCTGCTATCATCACTATTTGGTAGTAATTGATAAACACATGCTTATGATTTCGTCGGAATCGAACAATGGACTCTGTATTTAGTAGAGATTTGTTATGATTATGGAAATGGTTTTATCGCTTTAATAATTATACACATAATTTACAGCGTGGCCGAATCATTCTGTTAACTACATGAGCAACAAGCTGACATTCTACGACATATTACATTTGTGGTTTAAATGTTATGCCATTTTTTATTGAAATGCGCAGAAAAATATTATATTGCATTGCTGATTTAAAAACGTCATTAACAAAAAACTAAAAAAATCTTCTGCCTTGTCTGGTAAAATACCCATATCTAACACCCAATGTACTGTTACGGATACTGCAGAATGAACAATCCACAAAACCGAAGGAATTGTTGAGGGCAAGGGAGCACAACTCTTTACCCAGTTAAGGTAGAAATAATGATGCTATTTTTTGCCAACAATTTTCGGATACAGTTTTAGTTAAGATTACAAGTTCATCTTCACATTTTAAAGTGATATTGTGACCTAAAACGTTAATTAACATTTTTGAAGCTCACCTTTCGTAATGCATTACATTCGCCCTCAAGTTCCGACTGACGAATTTCTGCTTTAACCAATCTGTCATATCCTGAAACAAAAATACAAATTGACCGTGATTGACCTATGGTGATAAACATGTAATAATGGTTGCAATATTTGGTAGTAGTATGATCTTTTATTCTGGTAAAGTCGAGAAAGAAGTAAAAGGTAGATAAACCGATTACATTCATTCACTTACGTTGTTTGGTCAAAGTTTCCTTTTCTTTCAACTGTTCCAGTTGCTCGTCTTTAGTTTTTCTTGCAGTTTCCCGCATATCAAATAGCTGCTCCCTAAGTGCTCGGTTTTCCTAAAAAATGAAGCGAAAACATACTCGTTATTGTGTGGTTGGGTCCTACTTCCAACCACTGGTTTACTTCATTGAGACTCTATTCTTAAGCGGCTACTGTGATACAACTGACTGCAGCATAAATGCACATTGATAACTATCTGTCGCGTGTAAACCACCTTTTCTTTCCAAAAGGTATATGTGTTTAGTGACACCTTTAAGCTTAAAACATTTACATACTAGGAATTTACGCAAAGTATACAAACCTGAGTTTACGTTTAAAAGTCCATAAACGCAAATATTATCAATATGAATTAGAGACAATCCATTTCCATAATCATAAGAAATTTCAGCTAAAAGCAGCGACCATTGTGCGATTCTGACGAGATCATTATCATGTGTCTATGAAGCACTATCAGTTAGTGATGATACCATGTGTTCCCGAAAAGGTGAACGTATTCTGCCCCAACTGTGGCACCCGTCAAAAAACTCATGTCCACGACATTTCGAAATCATTTATTTTACAAAGGTCAATGCCAATAATTACCAGATCATCACAATTATATCTTCACAGACTGCTTATTTAAGCATTAATACATAAAACTGTAGACAACGATACAAAATCAGTGACATCGTTCGGCGCAATAATGCAACACAAGCACCGCGCTTTCAATTATCAGTCAATAAGGAAACAGTAGTCCGGTAGTGGTCGTGGTCTACATGTTTATTATGGAAACATAAATGTAAAGGTATTTGCTTACATAGCTAATCAAATGCCGTGGAATCACATGCAGTTAAGATGTAACGTTTGGGAATGTAATTATCATACCTTGGGAGTAGAAGATATCTGATTAGTTTTCAAGTTACTTCCCTTTAAAGTGAAGGTCACCCACCTTCTAGGCTGTTCGGAAATTAGCTGATGCAACCATATACTATTCCTGTAAATGGCTCCAAGGAGCCCCGTGTACCCGTGTATGTTGATTTTAAAACGTCATTAACATAAAAAGGAAAAACATCTTCTGAGTTGCCTTGTCTGGTAAAATACTAATATCTTACACCCAATGTACTTTGATGTTAAGGATACTGCAGATTACACAATTCACAGAACCGAACTAATTGTTAAGGGCAAGGGGGCACCGCTCTTTTTTCAGTTATAAAAAAATTCATAATGCTGTTTTTGCCAACGATATTCGGATACAGTGTTAGCTAGGATTGGAAGGTCATCCTGACATTTTAAAGTCACATGGTGACAAATGACTATTAACTGTTCATGAATTCAAAGTCTTAAGTATTGATGTTATAATACGTAGACATTTGGAGATATGGATGTCAAAGTATATTTATTATATTGGGCTTAAATTCTGCAAACAGTGTAATATGGAAATGTTTTCACATGTATGTGGTCTTATGGCCATAAACAATAATAAACTGCATTGATCAAATGCAGTCTATCACTATCATTATCCTTGATATAATGTTATTAGATTACCATCCGCAGGTCTGCTTCTTGAACAGGTCCGAAGCACAGGTTGACATACGATTTGCAAAATGAGAAACCCTTTTTAACAGATTTAAGTGTTAGTTTGACTCTTATTCATCATGTTTTTAGCATATAGACTAATAGCTACACACTGGAAAGAGTCATTCTTGAGTGAGTTGGAGAGTTGCGCTTAACGTAGCTTTGAACCGTTATTTCAGTTATATCACTGCATGTTATCTTAATTTAGCACGAACGCCAACGGCGACACGAGCTTCTTTCGTGAAATCTACGAGCACGGGTATGGTGTTGATGACAAATGATAATAATCGGGGTGTATCGGGAAACCGGCGAGATATACTTTAATGTGAATTCGTGTAGCAGCTAGGATAACGATGACCTTCTTTTCTTGAGAACAGAGCGTGTGGTTAGCCTGCATTTGTTCTGTTTGTTACGCAGATACTTTGTAATTTCATTCGCAATATCGAGACAATTAAACGACGGATTAACTGCTGACACATAACTGTAGTTTTCCAGGACATGTAGTCAATAGTTGAAGTTATCAACAAATTTTAAAGGCGTCCACTTAAAGAAGTTTCCGTCAGAATTGAGATTCAAAATATATAGAGAGCTAATTTATGTAATACGAATCGAGAAACTGCATGCATCAATGTTATTTAACCTGCAACACAAATGTTTTAATCTGTTAGTTTTAAAAACATCTCTATTGTTTGATATTGCAATTCACAAGCAACTTTTGAAACCCCTATATAAACTATAGTTGCAGAAGAAACAACGAGCTGAATTAAGCAAAACACTGATCTTACTCATACCCACATGTTCTCTTACATACGATCAAGATTTATTTTGCATTTTTCAGAAAATAATTAACACACTAAATAGATCTACCATCCATCATATATTCAATCAATTGCATTATATATACCAATCGACATACTTAAAAATACAAGATCTATCAATAAATGTTTCGTCCTTAATAAATGTGTCTATCATTCAGTGACATCAGTGACCACAGGCGTTTACAGTCACATAATGTTTATCATGATATAAATGGAAATGTAAACCCCGAATTAGTTCATATGGATATGTTTAAATGCCACTTTTTAGAAAAATTCGAAACGCACCTAACATTCGATAATTGTATAAATGATAGGGTATATAGGGTATAGAAAAAGTAAAGGTGCTTAACACTACGACCACGACATTTGTGATATAATCTCACGTGCAAAAGAAACGTCTCCAAACATTTTTCAACTAACAAACAACACAAACACAAACACGAATAGATAATGACGTTTTATATGAATAACAAAAAGGTATGTAAAGCATGTGTGACCGAAGTAAAAAGAACATGTTAAATGGAACAGCTGTAGAGTCAATGTTATCACAAGGGGTCGATTGTCCAGTATTCGAGCACAAGCCAAAGCGGCAAATCACAAAAACCGCAGATTTTGAAATTGGAATTGGAAACTGTCAATACCGCGTATGTCCACCCCTAGCGTCGATACATGCCAGAACACGTCGTCGGGCCGAGTGTGTAAGTCTTCTGATCACGTGATACGGGATCTGACGCCATTCTCTCTGCAGTGGCTGAGCCAGTGCATTTCTCGTCAACGGAGGGTGTGGCAGTTGTCGAATCCGACGTCCAAGATGGTCCCACAAGTGTTCTATCGGAGACATGTCTTGGGATCTTGGTGGCCAAGGCAGGACGGACACGTTGTTGGCGTTGAGAAAGGCCGTTGTGACAGCTGCGGTGTGTTGTGTGGCATTGTCGTGCTGAAACAAGGTTCCTGGATTTTGCTGGAGGAAAGGCAGGACATGGGGCTGCAGAACTTCATCAATATACCGACGGGCTGTCAGGTTGCCATCGATGATAATGAGGTCGGTCTTGGTGTTCCCACAAATTCCTCCCCAAACCATCACACTCCCTCCACCATATGGTTCCGTTTCCTGAACGCAACAACGTGCTGTCCGTTCCCCACTTAAATGAAGCGTACGTAGATAACGGTCTTCTTGTGGCGTAGTGACTTTTGGTCGACCGCTCCTTGGCCTGTCTACTGTCCTGCCAGTTTGTCTGTAACGTGTGACTAGTCTGCCAATCGTTCTTTTTGCGGAGCCCATGATTCTTGCAACATGGTCGTGAGTTGTCCCAATCTCCAACATTCCAATCGCTCTTTGTCTCTGTTCCATAGTTAATCTAGGCATGTTCGGCGGGTTTTTCAGACGCTGATGATTGCAAAAGAACAGTTTCACACGGGTTTTATAACCGATCTTCATACGGGTGATTTCCTGCACGTGCAAGTCATTTTTACCCGCTTTTGGCATGCAGCACGTGAATTTCCTTGAGATACCATGCATTGGTGTGTTTGGGCAATGTGTTCCGAACTGTTTTTCATGTTTTTGACTATATTCAACAATTATAATATAATTCTAACTTTGGGGACGTTTCTTTTGCACGTGAGTGTATGTTCAAAACAATTACGACTACTGAACTCGAATTCGAAAATTACAAAGTCTTCCCTTTTATTCTGTATCCGTATTGATTTAATTTGTTATTTATCAATATTTATTTACCGCCTGGAAAATGCTTTGATTTCCCATGAAATCAGTGTTGGTATACATTTCCAAAAATATTTTCCAAAATGTAATTTCTACAAATATTTACCTTATACCGATATTACTAAAAAACTGATACATTTTAAACTCAATGGAAAAATCATATATGGATTTGGTCAAATTCCCAAAACAAATAATCCAGAAGATAGTGTGAATGTTTTGGGTTTATTTCCTTATTTCCAGTAAGTGACATTGACAATTCAGAGAGCCAGTTGCAGCAGCATGAGTAACTGGTTAAATTCAAACACCATTTAGCAGCCCATTAAGAAGACAATAACATTGCACTTACAAACATGAGGTGTCTTATCGTTTCGTGTAGTTGTAGCTTGTCTTCCGTCATATACTTGTAAGGAAAACTTTCGATCAGATCTTCTCTGCCTAAAACAGGAAAGTCATTTCATATATATTTACAGATATAGAAAATCACTTACATTGGATGGGTTACCACGAGGATTTGAAACTCTAAATGTTGTTTATATATTAATATAATAAGCTAAATTAAAAACGCCTGATACCTTTAAAAATAAAATAAACAGACACAAATAAGAAATATGCTAGTATAACTTATCTTGTGCTATTGACAACTACAAGAATAATGTCATCAACGTCTTCTATAAATACATTTCCATCTAAAAGTATGCATAATCCCATTGTTGTAGTGTATTAATTGACAGTTCATAAACATAGCCCCACGGCACTGTAGCTCACACACCCGGATATATAGTCAACACTTCAAAATGTTAATAATGACAGCCACTTGGCAAAATTGATATTCACACATCTAACACTAAAATCTGAAGATTTGAATCATATATGATTTCATCTTAGAGAGAAACATACACGCCAAAGCCATTTAAGTCAAGTATGCAGATTTAAAATATGGCGGACATATTGAAAATCTCGAACAAATATGCAAGTCATGACATTAGCTCACTTTCAGTCAGGTGAGCCAAAATCTAAACCTCACAATACCTTCAACAACTACAGAAAAATGGATTGTTTAGAGTGTTTGCGAGTACGAGCACAGCTTACTCGCGACGATATAAAGAATCTGTAATATACATCTCAGGTTCTTACATCTGTGGGCCGAGTATATATCATATCTACTACTAGATCGTAGACTACTTCATCACTCATGAGTTAACATATACTGAACAACAAAAGTTCCTGTGACATTGAATAAGTTTTAATGCAAAGTTATGTTTTTTACCAAATCTGAAACAATTTCGGTTTGCAACAGACAAAAGACTCCTGTAAGTGTGCAAATGGTTTAATTTGCCATACTGACTTCAGAAAATGCGTGATGTCATAAAAAAACAAGAACATGCCAAAATGTTAATTTACAAATGAATAGCGTGTGTGTCCACCTCTGGTTGCGATGCAAGCAACACATCTTCGTCTCATGGAATGGACCAGGCGTAGCACAAAGTCCTGTGGGATATTTGTCCATATCTGCTGGAGCATGTTTCGAAGTTCCTGGAGTGTCTGTGGAACACGTGGTTGACGTCGAAGGCTCCGATCTATCTCATCCCATATGTGCTCGATTGGTGAGAGATTAGGGGAGCGAGCCGGCCAGGGGATGACATTCGCGTTGTTGTGTTGAAGAGACTCCTGAACAAGTCGAGCAATATGAGGCCGGGCGTTGTCATGTTGAAAGGTAATGCCTGGGCCATGACGACGCAAAAACGGTAGAAAAACAGGGCCGATGATCTCGTCGCGGTAGCGCTGTCCATTGAGATTTCCCTCTACCACTATCAAACTGGTCCTTCTTTCCTGCTGTAATCCTACCCCACACCATAACGCTGAAGCCCCCGAACCGATCTTCTTCCATTACATAATGATTGACGTAACGTTCACCTCTACGTCGGTACACTCGAAACCGTCCATCGCTGTGGCTGAAAACGAGACTCGTCATTGAATAGAACTTGTCCCCACTGCATGGCCGTCTCGCGTAGACGCTGTCTGCACCACTGTAGACGTGCTTGACGGTGGTTTCGTTGTCAAAATGGGACATCTGGCAGGTCTTCTGGCGACCATCCCTGCACATCTGAGGCGACGACGTACGGTTTGTGAAGATATTCGTCGAAGCCAGGGATGCTTCTTGCAATCTGTTTTGCTGGCTGGAATCGATTTCGTAGTTGTGTTGTTCGAATCCAGTTGTCTTGTCGATTATTGTTTACGCGTGTCCTGCGACTCCGGGGATGGTCTCTGACTGCATTCGTATGTTGCCAACGTTGCCATAAACACCAAATGGTGTTTCTGTGGACGTTAAACTGTCTTGCAACATCATGTTGACTCGATCCTGCTTCAAGCATACCAATGGCTCGCAGACGCTCATTTTCGTACAGGTGTGGCATTTCGTAATTTTGAATAATTGCGTATTTTTGTTGTGTTTCTGAGTGGTTGTTATCAGCACGATGCTGAACAATGCATATGGAATCCCGTTAACATACATGTACAACAATATTGAAAACCAAACTTTACTTGTTTGAAAAATACACTAAAATATTGGTGTCACAGGAACTTTTGCTGTTGAGTATATCTCTAACTCTTTGTTTTAAATCCATCAGAAATATTGTTACACTGCCCACTTCCTGTAAGATCCAAGCAAAACCAAATGTGAAACTGAATAACATATTCATGACAGAAGTTGCCCACGTATGACAATCAGCACAATCCAATACATAAAACATTTCATATGCCTTACAGGTACATCTATTGCTTTGCATATGTAAAATGCTTAGCCAAAACGTAATAACCTCAACAATGAATTACAATATACATGTATAGGGTATCTTCCACATTCCCCTCAAACCATAGCACTTGGAGTAGTCTTACTGATATTCAGAAAATGTTTACAGGCAACATTGTTTACCCTCTCTGTGCAACCCTGTCTTTGTTAATCCTATATTTCTGAACAGACGAGTAAAGTTGGTATTGTTTGAAATGCAAAATTGTTAAAGCAAACATGTTATGGAAACATACATTTTCCGTAGCACTTCAAATAACACATTCTTGGTCTTTGTTGAGACGTATCAACATATGCTGATTAAAAACCTCAACATCACAGTCACCACATATCGCTCTTATTACTCTTCCTCATATCGCACCTCTCCTGAATTCAACTATTTTAGTTTTTTCAAATATTAACGAACAATGACAAGGATTTGCAATAATTGTGCAAAGCATTTAACCGTTTATCTAATCCATACATACTGTACTGAGAGGCACAAATAAGGCATGCTCAAATTAAAGTTTCAATATTTTTTTACTGAAATGAAATATACAAATGACAATCAATACAAATGACTAATTAAAGATTACACTGATGAATTTCATGAACAGTTACTGTATGACAAAGAATTAATGTCTATGAAAATGACGTCAAAGGCGAGTGGTGTCAATAACGAGTGTGTCCTCCTTTTCACTAACTTTGATGAAGCTTTATTGTTAGGATTCACACATGCATTATATGTTACCACATTAGCAATCTTTCTTCAATTTTGTATCTGAAAATTTGGCAAGTTGACAATTCCTTACAATAAGGGGATGCTTGTTATGGTTTGTACAAAGCATGTGTCCAAAAAAGTGCTTTATTGTTTTTGTTCAACATTCGGAGTACAAATTTTGTGAAAAATGACACGGTAATCAGGTATCATTTTAGTTATGTGTGTAGGTGAGGGTCAAACATTGCTATATTCTGTGTCCGTAGCTCTATGGCTATTTAAGAAACTAACAACAGCTGACTGTGGGTGCTTTAATATATTTTACAGGCTGTCGAAAGCAACTAATCTCTGGTAGAATTGTTTGAATTACCTTGCATAGACAACTGTGGTATAGGTAAACCGCAGCCCGTAGTGTCCGTAGCCCCTATTTTAATAACTTGTATTTTAAATAAACTGCTAAACTGTTAGCTTTTTTAAGTTTAGGATACATTCAAATGTTCATAAAATCGGAACAAGATGAAATTCAAAAAATTCTAATGGTGTCATTTGCTATAAACTATTTTGGGCTACGGACACTACATACTTTTCAATTAGTCTATGAGGTACACTTTTGATCATACCCGCTAAGGGTGACAAAGGTTTCTTGAGCTTAAATTAAAGTTTCTATCCAATAGATGATATGTAGCAATGAAAGCCATAATAAATTAACAGCTGTCAAATTTTGCAGCTCACCAAACACACAGCTCCAATGCTACTTTCACTTGATATAATACATAATTAGTTGTACGTCGACATCATCATCATGATAGCTGCACCAAGTGTTGCTATGGAAGCTGAAGACACAAAGACTTATGTAGACCATTTAAGTTGTATGCATTGGTTGAATAATGAATGCAGATGTGATTATTATTATATCCTGCAGCATATGCTCCTCGATCCAAGTATCTGAACTTTCCTTTTCTTGTAGGTGTAATTTGACTAAGGTACAAAGTCAAATGAACACGTGTTAACATGGGACCTACTAGTTCCAGTATTTTGGCCTAGTTAAAGATCTTGATGTACAATTTGTATTTTGAATACATTCTAGCTATTCTGTGTATTCTAAGTCATGCTTCAATGATCTTTTGACTCAACTATTTCTTGCAGAGAAAGTCCCTGATATCAAAGTGGCAACTACTGGAAGTTTCTGAGAACTATTATATTATATATATTCAGTTCATGTTGGAAACGTCTACTGAATAAATGATTTGAAACATTCAATTCACTCTGAAGTGAAAGATTCAATTTGATTTCTGAACCCTCCTTTTAAGGTTAATTGTGTAAAAGTAATAATGTTCACATGTGCAGTGAGCAAACATTGAAAACGCTACTTTTTAGTGATGTCGACAGTGAGATTTCACAATGTAGAATGGACATGATCAACATTAACTGTCAGAGGAGTGAATTTTGCAAGTAGCATATCTCTGTATTATGTACATTTAAAATTGTTCAATGAAATCAAATTGGTAATAGATTTAGCGACTAAGAGACAATGGTGAACACCTTGGTGACAAAATGTGGAAGAGATACTCAAACAACTCTAGGGAAGAAATCTGAGTAAATGAGGCGATACAGGAAAAATGTGAGTATTAATGCAGAAAAATATGAACTTCTTTGAAAGACATATAAATATACGAAAGACATATAAATAAAGAGAAGAGAAATGAAAAAGAAGAAACAGGCAATGCAAGGTGACCAAAAGCATACTAACGCACAACGAGTAAAGAAACGTTTACAGAAAACAAGCTTACCGCCAAAAGGTAAAGGAGAAGAGAGAAAATTCTTTGTCTGATGTAAGGAGAGTGAATAACAGATCACAGAATTATGACAAAGTAAAAATCGCTGAAAAAGAAAGTTGACTATACGCAGGATTAGAAGGCTGTACTTCGAACACAACAGTGAAGGCTTCGAGTCAAACTGAAGAAACAGAAGGCTGACGAGTTAGCATATACCAGTGCATTTGAGAACAGATGGTCAGAATATCTTTTCGTCCATAAAATAAAAAACAACACTGCCCAAAAAACCAAGTAAGAAAGCTAAAAATTTGGAACATCTGGCAGAATCACCAGAAACATCTTAAATTTTGAAGAAAAGAAGTTCATGGCTAAGGGCAGAATTTAAGAAAATGTTTTGGGAATGAAATGCAATGCTACATAATAGCACAACATAATGAAAAGAAAAGAGTGTATAGAAGCTTGACATATGCAGTCCTTAAAATGCAAAGAATTTAAAACACACATAAAACTTAAGACAGGAAGGCACATCTATTACATGCCTAAAACTGAAACAGTGTGTTGGAAAGTACAGAAAAGAAAACCAAGAAAGGACAGAAATAGTGACACTTGGCAGAATAAAGTGCAAGACTTTTTTTCTGTCACCAGAAATAAATCGTGAGGTTCCGGGAAAAAGAGATGACGTGACCATATAAAGCAATGTCGAGAAAGAAGCAGATCAGAAGCACATCATGATCATGACCCTGCAGGAAGCATATGACCTATTTAAGGTGAATAACCGAAATGAAAAGGCTTGACATCATTGAACAAACTGAAGCCTTTCCATGTTAGATATATTTCAGAAACCAATAGATGATCTTGCTTCTGCAGATTTGCTACAATGTTGCCTTAAAAGTTGAATCAGCTAACACTAAAGACTTAAAGAAAGTATGAACAAGAGTTTGCCACTAATGTGGCTATGCCCCCCGCCCCTGTTGCAGAATGTATGACATAATTAAATCTAAACAAACCCTAACCTTTTTTAACCGAGGTGGAAATTGTAAAAAAAGAAGAGTTTGCCACTAATGTGGCCAAGTCTCCTGCCCAGCAAATGAAGTGTATATTATGTCAACAATAGTGAAATTTGATCACACAAACACATACATTTGAAAAATATTCAAAAGTTTGTAAGGAGTAAAAGGCAGCAGGGGAGCATCTACTTGATGTAAAAGCAAAATATCCTGAAGAAACCACATAAAATGCTGCAAAACACAATTTCTATGAGGTTCAAGAAAAACTTGAAACCTTCTCCACACAAAAAAACATAATGGAAGTACAAACTGATAAAACCAGTTACTACATTTACTACTGAATTCATTAGGGTGGGAGAAAGAAAAACCATTACAAGTCATGTTACAGGCACACACTGCGAGGAAGTAGGCCGCCACGAGTGCCACACACATTTTATGGTCATACCATGTGATATGATAAAGTGAAAAAACAAACAAGACAATATTATAAATGTGAATGTTAAAACTCTACAACACAAATGTCTTCATATCAACATGTGCTGAAAACTGTAAACAGTTTTATAGAGAAGTATGCCATCTTATCGCACACCCATCTCTGTCATAATCAATGCAGAAGTAGGGATGATGGATTTGATAATGAAGTCATTGAACGAAAGTTACCCTCAACCAATATTGAGGCACATACTGACAACTTGGAAGAAGGCATGCACAGTTTCCCCTACTATGGTAGAAACCTCAAACACAAAATGTAGGCACAAAAAACCTTTATTATGACTTATAAGATTCCTTAAACAAGGAAGTTCAACTTGTTGCCATGGAAAAATAAAAAAATATAAATTTCTAAAATTTCTAAATAGTAAAAGGCACCAGTTGAGCACGTACCTGACAGAACTGCAAAATTTCCTGAAAAGATATTGAACGGTTTATAAGTTATGCTCCGGAAACGAACCCTACCCTCACAGAACCTAAGTCCATCTTATTGCCATGGAAACGTAAAAGATAAAATTTTCTAAAATTTCTAAGTAGCAAAAGGCACCAGTTCAGCATGTACCTGACAGACCTGCAAAGTCTCATGAAAAAAATATTTAACGGTTTCTGAGTTATGCTCCGGAAACGAACCCTACCCTCACAGGACCTAAGTCCATCTTGTTGCCATGGAAACGTAAAAAATAAAAAAATTCTAAAATTTCTTAACAGAAAAAGGAACCAGTTCAGCATGTACCTGACAGACATGCAAAGTTTCATAAAAAACATATTTAACGGCTTATGAGTTATGCTCCGGAAACGGACGGACGGACAGACGGACGGAGCCCGTTTCTAGATCCCCGCCAACTTCGTTGGGCAGGGGATAAAAAAAACAAGCAAACAAGTCTCAAATTTGACACTTTGTCCATACACAGACATTCCTACCAATGTATGTTTAGAGCGAAGGTGTACACAATATCAAGGATGTAGCAGAAAGGTGTAGGAAGGAAAACAAAGACATCACTTGGCACAAATGGGAGCATATGACATTAAAAGAGAGTGATACAGAAAAGAGAATAATGGCATGAATGCGAAAAGTCACTAGTTTGGATGCATTTCTTGCAGTCTTTAAGAGTTCTCTTAGTATCTACTCCAGTCATATCTTCCGCTCCAACTTGCAACACAAGCAGATGCAAAGCCGCAAAAGCAATCTAAAACCTGAACAATTGGTGATGGTTGTTGATTATTCTGAAAATTACGAAGTTCAGACTGCTTACTTTGACCGGAACATGGTGACCATACATCCAATGATATGTTATTACCAATATGGTAATAGATGGTAAACCAGTGACAATCAAACATGCCATAATTGACATAACATATGACCTCAAACATGATGCAGCTTCAGTAAAAAGCTTTTAAAGCAAGGCAGTCAGCATCACAGAGGAGAAAGTGAAGGGACCAGAAGTGCTGCAGTTGACTGATGGCTGTGCTGCACATTTACAAGAGGATGGGATGCTTTTGGGATATCAGCCAACAGACAATCAAGACTGCACGCAATTATTTTGAGACAAGCAATGGACAGAACATATGTGTCTTGGAGCCATAATGAAAACATTCTTGCTACCGTGTTGTACTATCAGGAAAAGTTATAAGGGATGCAGAAGCAGTGCACAAACTCTGCACGGATGTCTTTGACCATAATCCGAAGCTGGGAAAAAAGATAACAATTCCATCAAAGACAGTGAGAGACAGTTTGACTTCATCAGATAGAAGAAGGCCTAAAACCTGTCCAAGGAAACCGTCCATCAGGTGAAGTATACTGGGCATCCCTATGAGATACTGAGTAGGAACCTGTCTTGCTATTGTACTTGCTGTGTTGAAAACACTGGTTGTGAATATAAGACCTATGTGTGTGAATGAACAGCAACTGAAAGCAAAAGATACTGGTATCCTTCAGAACTTAAGTTTCCTTATGTATTCTTCTACCGGCAATCTATTGCTTTAACCATTAACAGTATAGACCTTTCCGGCTTGCTCCTGATCTCTTCATAGAACCTACACACGTGGAGCTTCTGTTCCCATGTAAGTTAGCTGTATCGACTCGTGTAAGCTGTATCATGTACAACATATGCTACATCAACGTTCTGGATAAATTTTCTCGTCCATTATTTCACTTCAGCTTCTATTTCTAAAATTGGAATGATACAAGGGAAGTTCAAATTGGTGATTTTGTTTGCATAGCCTTAAAATATGTGAAAAGGAGAAAAGCTGCCATTTCAATTCTGAAATCACTCCATCCTTTGCATGAAGTTAGGATATTAGAGACAATATACCATTCGTTGGCAGTCTTTCTAACGAACGAGCCAAAGTTTGGCTGCAGTACATGAAAGGTTTATTGTTGTTCCCATTGACAAGGCATCAAATAACACAACCATTATATGTAAGCATCACTACATTAATTATTTGATCAAAGAACTTGGTATAACTGACATATCAAATAATGCCACATATAAATATGTTAAATGAGGAAGAAATCTGCAAAAACCATGCATCGGTACTATAAAGTTTTGACCAGACTCAAAAACCTGAAGTCATGTCCATTCCTCTTTTGTAATGAATTCTAAAGCACCACAAAGAGAGTGATATTGCTGGATCCAGTAGATATACCACCTAATCCCAGTCTCAAAGATTAACCACAATCCTTAAAACAATCAAGGAAGGACTTATTTCAGACAAGTGGAATTAATACAATATGGATTCTCAAAAACGCAAAGGAGATCATAGGAGACCAGTGAGACCGTCTCATCTGTTTCATATTTAGATATATGCATACAGATTCAGAGTGACAAAACACTTTCCACAAGACTGTATGAGAAGAGGGATGACTTCAACGTTCCAGTAAGTTCCCTTTATGTCGGGTAATAGTCAACTTTCTATCATGTGGAGCAATATTCCAGCAGCTCCAGCCTTTAATGTCTACATTTCACAGCTCTTAAAGTACAATCGAGCATGCTCTTTTCATGAAAAGGTCACAGAGCGTCAGATACCTCTTTCTTAAAAGGTGTTTGATCAAGATTACAACATTCAAGAAGGTAGTAAAGCTTTCCAAAAGCTTTAAGGTAGACATGTAAAGGACATTTTACGCGTAAGTAACAAAAACGATGTCTGATGCAATTGCCTACTTTGACTTGTACCATGTGTTACCGTGTATTTTCAGGTGAACAATTGATTTTCCTTTGCATGTGTTTGTAATGGGTGCCACCGGTGGGGCAGGATACGCTCACCTTATTGCGAACACCTGGTATCATTACCATTTCATAGTGATTCATAAAGTAAGAGGAATTATGGATGTCAACTTCTTTATTGTGAGGAACACAACGTTTCGGAGTACATGCTTACTCCTTCCTCCGAAACGTTGAGTTCCTCATAATAAAGAACTTGACATCCATAAATTCTCTTCCTTATTCGTATCACTTCTAAATGCCTTTCAAAGGCTTATTCATAAAGACATACATGTACTTATGATACAGTCAGAATCGTAGAGTGGACAATGGAGATATCAGATGATTATTGAAAAGGTTTTATCGCTTTTATGTATGTTATTTTACCTTCTCATGACTGACTAAATATTTTTAAATTAAACTCGACATATCATCGAATGTTTTATCTCTAAGAATCGAGTTTGATAAACTGAGAATGTGGGCAAATTTTATAGGTTAAAGGTCCCGTCTCTTAATCAGCTCCACATCATGTTAAGCATAATATATGTGACTTTGTAAAACTTTGGATTTGGTTGTTTGTGATGTTTACTAGGGACTATATTCTTACAAAATTGGTAATAATAAATGCATATAAGTTAAGGACCAGTTTGTAATAGACATAGCCATGTGAAAGTTGATCATGTAATCAAACTAAGGAAATATCTAATTATCCAATATGTCAAAATTCATCATTGTAGTCATAATATCTCGATAACAAACATTAATTATTTACATTTCCAACCAATGATATGATCTAGCGAGCCCTTGACTACAAACGCCGTCTGGAAATTGTTCTAAAGCGCCAATGAAATGACATTAATATGTTGCCAGTTGACTGGTACCTTTAGCCATCCCAGTAGGATTCCTGGGAGCAGTGCCTATCGCCGGATACACTGGGTTTTTCCATTTGTTGCAAAGGAATAAGAAAAATTATAAACGATACAAAAAGTTCAAAAACATCAAAGTCGGCAATTGAATACTTAATTGATAAGTTATGAATACAAATGGTTCACGAGTTTTGTTCCATCCTAGATTATCCCGCCCCCGTGGGGATTCCGGGTTGGAATAGGACCCAAACAACATATTCTGGTCGCAAGAGGCGACAAATGGATCAGGTGGTAAGAGGTTCTATGACATATTTAATTGTTATCACCGTACCCCGAAGGCGAGGGTCGTTGTTAACAACATCAATCACTGGATTATTTACAGGCCAATTTCATACAGTTGGAATACTGCTGAGTGCGGCTTTGAACAACATACAAAGAATCGATTATCCAGTGTATTATGTCGCCATTCTATTATGATCAATACCCTTGACCATAGCTTCGTTGTGGAAGCATTAATGCATTAATGTAATAATTACCGTCATCGGCTGATGTTTTATCCAGCTGTTTCCTAATATGCGGTTGTGTGTCGTCCAGAATATCTTTCAGAGTGTCGTATGCCTTTTCGTCTTTCCTTTCTAGAATGTCCAAAAACAGTTTGCACTGCTGTAATCTTCTTGAACGTTCCTTGTGAAGACGATCATGTTCTGACCTGCTCAGTATGCCTTTCTTTTGTAAGGCAACAACTAGAGGCTCAACGTCAAGATCACGCAAAAGGAACTTGCGATTTTTCTTGAGGTTGATGACGTGTAATGGCTCCCGCTGTCAGAGTAAAATGGAAAACCAACCAAATAATATTTCAAACATTTATGGGTTTAATAATAGTTTAGTAACACTTTAACATGGAGTTGTTTGACAGTATGAACAAATTTCAGACGACAATTGATTATTCGAACGAGATGTGCATAGTGATTTCCTGCACTGATTTAATTCATGAATATAGAATCTTCCTGTGGGAAGCTGTTATATATTGTACAAAGCAAAGTCCAACAAAAACTGTCCTGCTTTTTCCCTGGCTTAAAAAAGGACTGTACTGCATATTCTCTTTTTGAGGCCAGGAAATCAGCAGGAAAGTTTTTTTTCGACTGTACTTTCTTTTATATATAATTTCCAAATAACTACAAGGCAGTTGTATGGGTCTTATTAAGTCAACTCTGGATATACTATATGTTAATGTAATCAACAGCAAATGTAATTTCGCTAAAATATTTCAAAATATTGGTAAACAATTTCGTGAGCAACTACTTGATACGATTTAAGCATTACTTTGAGATGGTACAGTGGGCAACAGAATATTTATCGACTTAGCTCATATCCTCATGCACGAAATACATCCGAATGAACATTCAAGACTGACTACCAAACTAAATATACCAAACTTCGGGCCCACTATATAGATCCGTGAAGAGCCGGGGTACAATAGGTCTTCAGCAACCAATGCTTGCCGTGATTGACGAATATGCTTGTCGTAAGAGGCGAGTAACGGGATCGGGTGGTCAGACTCGCTGACTTGGTTGATGCATGTCATCGTATCCCAATTGTGTGTATCGATGCTCATGAAGTCAATCACTGATTTGTCTGGTCCAGACTCGATTATTTACAGACTGCCGACATATAGCTGGACTATTGGCGAGTGTTGGGCTACGGGATTAAACGACAAACAAACAACCAAACAAAATTAACCAATATTTTGTTTTCGAATAAGCCGGACACCGCTCTACCTAAGTAATATCAAGCAGACAGCTCCCAACAGGGTGCTACTGCGAATACATTTTAGCGTATTTGAAATTTCATCATATTACTTTGGGGTGTTATCCATTTCTTGAGGAACAAATACATCATCCAGACATCCAACGTTTTGTTCTTGTGATAATTTATTGTAATAACCTTGACATTTGTTCCCTCCCGGCCTACATGCTCAGGTTTTGTCATATTTCAGAAGAAGAAAGTCGACGAGGTTAAGAAGTATTTAAGAATAGAACATATGATTCCAATTACATTTGACTTGATGCATATCGATGATCTGATATCGTTCAATAACAACCAAAGAGCCAATTTCCTTCCACTGATTTAGCCACCTGAACTTCAAAAAAGAAACCAGTGAAACGGCTTCATCTGTTTCATATTTAGATTTATGCATATAGATTCAGAGTGATAGAACATTCTCCACAAGACTATGATAAGAGAGATGACTTCCGCTTTCCAAAAGTCAACTTTCCCAATATTCAAGTTGCTCCAGCCTTTGGTGTTCACATTTCACAACTTTTTCGGTACAATCGAGCATGCTCTTTCCACCAAAGGGCGACACACGACTCTTACTCAAAACGCCTAAGAAAAGCTTTCAAGACGTTTTATGGAACACATGTGGAGGACATTTTAAAATTTGACGCATCAGAGACAAAAATGGTGTCCAATGCAAATCCCTATCTTGACTTGTACCATGTGTTTTTGTTCAGGTGGAGAATTGTGTTGTTTGCAAGTTTGTTTATTACGGGTGCCACCGGTGGGTCAGGATAAGCTTACCTGGTTACATCACTGTTTGATTCATAAAGGCATGCTCATGATATAGTCGGAATCGTGCAATCGACTTTGCTTTGAGCAGGTATTTCTTATGAACATGGAAAGGGTTTTGTCGGTTTTATATAAATGTATTGTTATAAAGGCAAGGTAGTTGACGTTGTTCCTAGTTAGATCTTCTAAAACGATTGACAATAAAGCACAGCAGGCCAAGAAGGTATGGATACATATTTTGAGAAGTTTGCACTCTCTGCAACCGTTTTGAGGCAACTGTGTTGAAGTGTGGGGGTTAGAAAAGGAAGAAAAGTTCGATATGGTACAAGGGAACGCATGTAAATGTTTTTTTTAATTTAGGACTTTCTGCCTCGAACATCGCACTGTTGGGTGAGTGTGGTACATATTACATTCATGTATGTGTAGAAAACAACATGTACTAATTATAAGTTACATATTTTGAAAATGCCCCAATGTCGTTTACCTGAAAAATGTTATGATATGATGTGCTTCTATGGTGAGCAAGGTCGGATAAATTAGGTTACAAAGTTAAGAAATTGTCTGTGTAGATTAGAGTTTGGATATATATAGATATATCACATGTATGGAAAAAAATGTTAGTATACATATGTTTCAGCAACGTTTAAAGGCCATCTTCCAACAAATTTGGCATACTGAACAGCAAAAGAAACCTCACCATGGATAGATATATGAGAAACCTTATTTGTCCAAACACTGTAAACATACTTTTGAGACATATTAAGAAATGAAACTTGGCAAAACTGATGATCAAGGTTTAAATTAAAGCGTCAAATGTTCTTAAATTAAAACAGAACACTAGTCTCTGAGAAAATGGCATCACAAGTCAGTATCTCGTGTGTCCGCCATGTGCATTGATGGCTGCCGTGCAACGTCGATATATGGAATGAATGAGGCGGTTGGTTGAGGCCATAGGCACTTGAGCTCACACTCTGAGGAACGACTGACGCAGTTCAGCTGAAGTTGTCGGCCTTGGTCGGACGTCATTCAGTCGTCTTTGAATCTCGTCTCACAGGTGCTCATTGGGATTTAAATCGGGACTGAGGGCAGGCAACTGCGTTGTTCTGATGCCATTCTGATAGAGGAAGTCTCTTGTTGCTCTCGCAGTGTGGGTACGGGCGTTATCATGCTGAAACTCGTGGTTGCGGCGACATGCCAAATGAGGTATGGCGTTTGGTCTCAAGACTTGATCAATGTATCGAGCTGCTGAGACACCATTGCCTCTCCCTGGACCGATGTTCTGGAAGACCACAGGGCCGACCCTCTGTGCAAGACCAATTCCATCCCACACGATGATGCTCGGACCACCCCACTAGTCTCTCTCAACAATACAAGCATCCAAATAACGTTCCCTACGGCGTCGCTAGACTCTCTCTCTCTGCCATCTGCTGTTGAAATACAGTAACGGCTCTCGTCTGAGAAGAGGACTCTTCTCCACTGCTGGTGGCGCCAATGCTGGTGCTGTGTTGCCCACTAGAGGCCACCCCGGCGATGACGATGATTGGTCCTCAGTGTGGCTTGCGACAGTGGAGGTGTCTGCTCGGCAATCGTCGACGCACGTCGACTGCACGTTGCTAGAGCCTGTATATGGTCCTTACGTGGACTTGAAATGCATTGGCTACATGCCGGGCGGTTTGTTCAGCTTGCAGTCGTCCAATGGCTTGGTGTCGCTGATTTCTTGTCAATCGTGGCATATGGAAGCATTTCAATAACGAATGAATGTTACCCGATCTGGGTGGATTTTTATAGGGCAAGAAATGGGAGAACGCATGTGCATTTGGGCCTTGGTCGGACGTCATTCAGCCGTCTTTGAATGTCGTCACACAGGTGCTCAATGGGATTTAAATCGGGACTGAGGGCAGGCAACTGCGTGGCTCTGATGCCATTCTGCTGGAGGAAGTCTCTTGTTGCTTTTGCAGTGTCGGCACGGGAGTTATCATGCTGAAACTCGTGGTTGCGGCGACATGACAAATGAGGTATGGCGTGTTGTCTCAAGACTTGATCAATGTACCGAGCTGCTGTGACACCATTGCCTCTCCCTGGACCGATGTTCTGGAAGACCACAGGGCCGACCGTCTGTGCAATACCAATTCCACCCCACACCATGATGCTCGGACCACCCCTAGAGTCTCTCTCAACAACACAAGCATCCGAATAACGTTCCCTACGGCGTCACCAGACTCTTTCTCTCACTGCCATCTGCTGTTGAGATACGGCTCTCGTCTGAGAAGAGGACTCCTCTCCACTGCTGGTGGCGCAAATGCTGGTGCTGTGTTGCCCACTAAAGACCGCCCCGGCGATGATGTTGATGGATCCTCAGTGTGGCTTGCGACAGTGGAGGTGTCTGTTCGGCAATCGTCGACGCACGGTGTATGCACTAAAGTGTCGCTAGTGTGTCCCCATGATCTGTCGAGCAGTTTCCACAGCAGTAACAAAGCGATCTTGAAGATGCTGTCGCACAATCTGACGATCCTGACGTCGGGTGGTGACCCCTGGTCTTCCACTACGTGGTCGGTCATCTGTAGTGTGGGTGGTCTGGTACCGTTGCTGGAGCCAGTATTTGGTCCTTACGTGGACTTGAAATGTATTGGCTACTTGCCGGGCGGTTTGTTCAGCTTGCAGTCGTCCAATGGCTTGGTGTCGCTGATTTCTTGTCAATCGTGGCATGTGGTAGCAATTCAATAACGAATGAATGTTATCCGATCTGGGTGGATTTTTATAGGGCAAGAAAAGGGGGAACGCATACGCATGTGCATTTCAATTTTCACGGAACTGACGTGCATCAGGTTACCATGGCCGTTGCCGTGATATGTTTGGGCGATCGGTTTTATTGTCACCTGCTTTGTTATTTATCATCAAATTTCATTTTTCCGGACAAGATAAGGTTAAATTTTAGAAACATTGACAAAAACTATCCAGATATTTAAATGACAACTTTTTAATGCAATGTTACCCTGGGTGACGTTTCTTTTGCGGTTCAGTATACATTGTGAAAACTATTTGACCTTCGAAACACAAAGAACATTCATAACTGATCCTCGTTTTTGTTAAATTTGTCGTGTTTTGGAAATTGAGCGTTTGCATCACTTCAATATACCTAGAAATTAAAGAAAATGTAAACATTCTAGCCAAAACTGAATTATACATTATCTTCAGCCTAACATCCACAAATGGTACATTTCGATGTCATCGCCATGCTCAAACATTATACT